CAGGGGTAATTTCAGTACCCTCCACAGTCACCTCCATTGCCGTCGCGTCTCCACAACGGGGCTCTGAAGCGAACGCCGGGGGCGTCGGCCACCGCCGAGCCGCCGCGTTTGTTCACCGCTAGCGTTAGGCTTTGCTGGGCGGAGACGCAGTCGACACCAAAATAGCCATAAAATGCCCCAAAACGTACTCACAGTCCTGAAGTCGTGGTCTAGATGGTCCAGAGAACTTCAGGCAGGAGATTATAGGAGTTGTTTGCTGTAACTGCACAATTTCCACCAGACCAAACAACTTTCCGCGGAGCTGATGCGAGGCACATCCGAACTCCCTGGCCCCCTGGTGGCCATCCTCGTGGTGTGAAGGAACAACTTTTTGCTGGTTTGGTGCGTAGTCCCCTCAAAAGTGTTGCTGAGTTTCTTACTGAAGCGGCCACAATGGAGCGAGTACTGCACCAACGGTCTGCCCAGTTTGACCGTCAAGTGAATGCTGCCTCGACTCCCGAAATTTTCGCCACCCCTGGGAGCAAGAGCCCCGAATGGATTCGCGAGATCATTCGATCTGTCGTCCGGGAAGAAATGGAAAAGATGTACGGGACAAGGCAAATCGATGTTGGTTCTATCACCAGTGTCATCCGCGACGAGGTCCAGCAGGTGCTGCATGCCCATCGTTTTTCGCCCACGTCGGTTGATCCAGAAACGGCCCCTGTGTCTACTGACAGTCGCCGTCGTACGTACGCGGAAGCCTTGCGATCTGCCACTCCTCTTTCGGGTCAAGGAGTCCCGATCCAGACAGTGCCGCACGTCCCGATCCAGACAGTGCCGCACGTCCCGATCCAGACAATGCCATACGTCCCGATCCAGACAATGATGCTGTCAGTCGCGATTCAGTCAGCACACGCTGATTTGGACATCGATAGTCGCCGTACACCGACGCGCAAGTCTGATCTCTGGCGTACGCCAGACAGACGACCCCTCTGCTATCATTGTGGTGAGGCTGGTCACATTTACCGCGAATGCCCATACCGGCAACTTGGACTGCGCGGATTTTCCGTCAATTCCCCTCGTCCCCGAATTGGTCAAAGGCCAAGGGATATCGAAGAGTATCTCGCGCAACAGGGTGCACCCTTTACACGACGGCAATCGCGGTCACCATCTCCGAGGAGACCCGCAGCCACTGGGCCACGTTTCGGGGTGACGGCACGGGAACGCTCCCCGAGCCCTCGTCGGGAAAACTGAAGGCAGCGGCCTTCGAGGGCAAGATCACTGGGACTTCAAGTGCGGAAGACCTCCCATCGATGCTTGCACGCAACGCCGAAGGCATTTCGTCAGAGAATAATCGCAGTGCCGAAGAAACGCCGACATCCGCATCTGAACCTAGTGACCGCGTGTCACTCGACATACCTGTGCTGGTTGACGGTCTTCAGGTCAGTGCATTGGTAGACACTGGTGCAGACTATTCGATAATCAGCGGGAGGCTAGCGAAAGATCTCAAGAAAGTGATCACGCCGTGGAATGGAACGCGAATTCGAACAGCTGGAGGACACGTTGTGACACCGCTGGGTCGCTGTACCGCAAGAGTGAAAATTCGTGCGTCAACGTTTGTGCTCAGCTGCCTCGTTCTTCCCGACTGTTCGCGTCAGCTGATTATCGGCATGGACTTCCTTCGGGAATACGGTGCCATCATAAATCTCCGTGAGCGCATCGTGACCTTCTCGACTCTAGGCGCAACAGGTCGAGACGCTGATAACTGCCGTGACATTGCGTTGCTGCTGCTGTTTGTGTTCTTCTGTGTTTTTATGCCTTTTCTTTTTGCGCTTAGCGGAAGCGTTGGTGAAACTTCCTTATTTGCGCTGCGAGTAGTGGCACTCTCCCTCTTTTGGTTCTCTATATCTGCGTGTGTATACCTTCATTTTTTTTTATTTACGAGCATCGAGTCGATGCTTTCAAAGGGGGGGGGGGGGGGGGGGTGGACTATTGCCACATGGTTTGCTTGGGTGAGATCGAAGAGTGAAAGAAGACAAAGACGATCTCTCTGAGCCGCTGCTTGAGTACTCGACTAAACGAGCCCATTTTTATCAAGTTTGTCGAGAGTAGTGTGACAATATTCAGTGAACGAAAAAAAGACCACTAATAATGAAACGCAATGTCAAGCGGAGTGAGAACTTTGAACAGATCGGAGGCAAATCAAGAACACAGAAAAAACACACAAAAGAGAAAAAAAACAGCCTGCTATTGGATTTGAATGCAAATATGGCCGTGTCCAGCTTCTCATGCACATGCAAACCACATGTTGCCAGATAGCGGTGCACTGTCAGCTAGACACCGCTATATAAGACGAGGGGCGCCTTTATCTCGTTGTTTGATAGAAAATATCTCAACTTATATTCCTGTTTATATGGTAGTTTTTCAACCATGCTAAACATTTGCGAGCAGTGTGAGCGTGGAAGACGTCATTCGAAAATTGAAAGTCGTGCCTTTTACGGCAAAGCATCATCTGTTGAATGCAAGAGAAAACTCTTTGCTGATAGCGCCACGCAAGCACAGCGGCACAAAAACAATGCGCATGGCCTTCAACAGAGCCTCCGAGATTGCATGCGCCCGGCGGGGTTTTCTCCGGCTGTCTGAATTGCCGCGCTCCCCAGCAAAACCAGCGAGTATCGCCTCACGCACCCGGCTACCGCGAGGGGGGCGCATTAATGTGGGTTCCACGAGTGGCGGAGACCATGGCAAAAGCAGAGCGTGCAGGATTTCAGCGTGTGCATTAATTTTTTTTTTTCTTGCTTGTGAGCAAAATCACCGACAAATCTTCTGACTACACTGAAAGCAAGTTTTTTTTTTTTTCTGTTGCTGCTTTTATATTGGTCCAATTGGTGAATAAAAGCATGGCAACTACTGAATTTTTTTTTGTATAGATCATTACAAGGAAGTATTATTTCGTCTGTGACAGAATGCCCCCTTACGAGAGACGCGTATGTGGGTGAAGACTAGGCTAGTTACTGTCATTGAATCATATTGCCCTCCTATCGTTGGATATCGTTTAACTATTATATGCTTACCGATATTTATCAGGTGGTCAATCGAATGCCACTTATGTTCTAGATAATTAAGTGCTTATATTTTGGTGGGGACAATTGCGGGCCTTCCGCTTTGACCGGAACGATTGAATTTAGTTACCAGGCACACAAAGATGCCTTCGCTCACTGGACAGGTGCCGTTTGCGAAAAGGGTGCGCTTTTCAAACACAGGGAAGTAACAACTGGGGCACTTGTTACTTGTTATTTCACACTCATCTTTGTACCTGTTATTACGTTTAGTGCATCGTTTTTGTTTAAACAGCGCTCTATGTGTCAAGGGGTAAACATTGTTAGTTCGTTCTTATCCTGTGTGCGTTGTTTCGTGCATGTGTGCGTGAACAGCATGCTGCGTGTTTAGATCTTCTTGCCATTCTCAGCATTACCGTATTTGCTCACATAATCCTCGCACTTTTTGGGCAGAAAACCGATGAAAAGTTGGGGGGTGCGAGAATTACGCGGGGAAAGCATTCCACGAAAACGTACAGAGCAAAAAAGAAAACGAAGTGGCCGCAAATCGGGATTCTCACACCAGCAACTAACAGCAATCTTTGAGAAGTACTAATTAAAATTTACCTCAGCAATAAAAGCTGAGGTTCAACACATAGCAAGATTTATTTGAGACACAAAAAGTGCAAGCAAATAGTCGAGAATTAGAATACCATACGCAAAGCTTGTGGGCTTTGCGGGCGTAGCTCAACAGGAGCTCAACAGTTCGTCGCTCAACAGGAGCGAGCCCTCAAAAGGTAAGCGTAGGATGTCAGTATTGGGCTGATGGCTATTTGACAGAATCATCCGCAGTTTCCTTCGGAAGAAATGAAGTTTACCATCAATCCCAGTCTCATGCACACGGCAGGTCCATCACATCTTGGTGGCTTTCAGCTGCCGTCACCAGTAGCGAACACAAAACTCGTTGACTCCGAAGGGCCTACCGGCGGCCCTGTTGCCATTGTTTAGAGCATGATCAATCACTTTCAACTTGAAAGCAGCCGTGTAGCTTCAGTATCACCCCTTAACGAGACAAGATTACCGACACAACATACAAAACAAGTCGCAATGCGCACTTGCTGCTTTGGCTTGGCTTGGATTGAATCTTCCTGCAATAATAGTACGCTTGATGTTTAAGTGATCGCGCCATATGGCGCACGCTATCGTCATCAACGGCTGGAACGAGCAGATGACATTATGGCGGGAATTTTCGAAAATGCGATAATTACTCGAGGGGGAAAAAAAATCGTATTTCTGTTGGGAGATGTAGGGGGTGTGAGAATTATGCGAGTGTGAGGATTACGCGAGTAAATACGGTACATTCCAAGTTGTTGCTATCGTATTCATTGCTTCGCCCTTGCGGCAAAACTGCCACTTTTTTGTTGTCGAGTTTGTCGTTGTGAACTTAGTTGGGACACCTGCTGTGCAGCACACGTTGGTTGGGCCGGTACACTAGCTACACGGCTGGTTACAAACAGCAAGCGCTGGAGCATTTGAACCGAGCGGCTGGATGACACTTCGGCGTTTATCTGTGCACTTTCGTTACGAGAGAAACAAAAAGAGCTTCAGGGTAAAAAAAATTTGTTGGGAATTTCACGGGCCCAAACAAGCAAAGCCGTCATGTAAAATTTTCGCTGTTGTAACTCCCGTTACTTTTTTCCCGCGTAATGAACCCTCCCCCCAAATTGGCGTGAACTTTTCTGAAAAAAAGGTGAGTTCATTGGGCCAGTAAATACGATATGTAAAACTTCTGTCGCCACCTAGCGGCTAAGTGCCGTCACTACCTGGTGGCTAAGTAGAAGTGCGAGACCTATGAGACGAACACTCATGCTGTTGCAAGCTTTGCTTTCTTAGCATTGTCAGTTGTTGTGGCTTTTGCTTTTCTTTCTTACTATCAATGTCATCATTGTCCTGTTCTTGCTCTCAACGACCACATTGTTGCAGTGGGTCAGCATAGCGGAGCTGAACAAGCTGGCCTCTCTGGAGGATCTGATTGTGAAGGGGAACCCTGTAACGGTCCGCGAGAAGAGGCACATCACTCGCTGCCTCATAGTGTCTCACCTGGGAAAGCTGCAGCTTCTTGACCGGATGGCGGTCAGTATTCGAGGCCAATATAGGCCTTCCCCTAAAGGTCGCTGAGACGTGCGCTTGCCTTTGTTTTCGTTTAACAGCTGCAGCGCACGTGTATTCATGAGGTTATGTGTAGTCAAATGCTGCTGTTTTAAACACAAATATGGAGCAAAAAAAAACTTCATTTTGTCATTGTTCGCATACAATGTACGTTTCTTTACAGCATAGGTTCTCATGCAATATCAAGATGTGGGAGTTCTGAAGAACTGTCAATTGCTTGCCGCAACGATTGACATGTGGCCCTTGTTGCACGATGTCGGAACCCTGACAGTGACATTCTTGTCCCATTGTGCAATATGGACGGTGTGTGGCTGAGGCTTTGGAAGCTGGTGGGACTTGGGAGCAAGAGGGGCTAAGGGCCATCACACCAAGCTCATAAATGTTCTAGTGAGCGGGTGTTCATGGATTAATGGGAGAAAAAAAAAAGTTAAGTTCGAGTTGCTTTTTGAGCAATGTTATTTCCTTTAACATTCGCTAAATGCGGTTAATAAATAATTTAACATAGGTTAAATGTGCACAGTGGGTGAACTAAGTGGCATGACTTTGGAACGATTCTGAGGCATTTATTTATAAGATATGCTGGATGGTTACTTCTAGATGGTGGGTGCAGTGGTGAAAGGTTAAAATGGAACAATTTAGGGCCAAGTGACGCACATGCTTTCGTTTCAACCATCTTTAGTTCAGGACATATCGGCATATCTTGTCCCATTGTGCATTATGGACAGTGTGTGGCTGAGGCTTTGGAAGCTGGTGGGACTTGGGAGCAAGAGGGGCTAAGGGCCATCACACCAAGCTCATAAATGTTCTAGTGAGCGGGTGTTCATGGATTGGTGGGAGAAAAAAAAAGTTAAGATCGAGTTGCTTTTTGAGCAATGTTATTTCCTTTAACATTCGCTAAATGCGGTTAATAAATAATTTAACTTAGGTTAAATGTGCACAATGGGTGAACTAAGTGGCATGACTTTGGAACGATTCTGAGACATTTATTTATAAGATATGCTGGATGGTTACTTCTAGATGGTGGGTGCAGTGGTGAAGGTTAAAATGGAACAATTTAGGGCCAAGTGACGCACATGCTTTCGTTTCAACCATCTTTAGTTCAGGACATATCGGCATATCTCGAATGCGTAGGTCAGAGACAAAACTATCTTCAGAGACCGGATTATTTCTGTATATATATATGACGTGGTTATCTGGAGACATAGCGCATGCTAGTCGTTACACCGAGAAATTTGATGTTGCGCGTGAATTCGCAAGTGCTGTACATGTTACCGCATCATTCCTACTAGCAATATGTTTTTAACAATATTATGTGAAATGGCGTAGGGTCAGAAATGATGTTACAGGCACCTTAACATGTGGCCGCATGATTGCTGACATGTAACCAATCAAACAGGGGTGGTAAATGTGCCATTGAACCGAGCGGCTGGATGACACTTCGGCGTTTGTCTGTGCACTTTCGTTACGAGAGAAACAAAAAGAGCTTCAGGGTAAAAAAAATTTGTCGGGAATTTCACGGGCCCAAACAAGCAAAGCCGTCATGTAAAATTTTCGCTGTTGTAACTCCCGTGACTTTTTTCCCGCGTAATGAACCCTCCCCCCAAATTGGCGTAAACTTTTCTGAAAAAAAGGTGAGTTCATTAGGCCAGTAAATACGATATGTAAAACTTCTGTCGCCACCTAGCGGCTAAGTGCCGTCACCACCTGGTGGCTAAGTAGAAGTGCGATACCTATGAGACGAACACTCATGCTGTTGCAAGCTTTGCTTTCTTAGCATTGTCAGTTGTTGTGACTTTTGCTTTTCTTTCTTATTATCAATGTCCTCATTGTCCTGTTCTTGCTCTCAACGACCTCATTGTTGCAGTGGGTCAGCATAGCGGAGCTGAACAAGCTGGCCTCTCTGGAGGATCTGATTGTGAAGGGGAACCCTGTAACGGTCCGCGAGAAGAGGCACATCACTCGCTGCCTCATAGTGTCTCACCTGGGAAAGCTGCAGCTTCTTGACCGAATGGCGGTCAGTATTCGAGGCCAATATAGGCCTTCCCCTAAGGGTCGCTGAGACGTGTGCTTGCCTTTGTTTTCGTTTAACAGCTGCAGCGCACGTGTATTCATGAGGTTATGGTATCAGATGCTGGATGGTTACTTAGATGGGGTTGCAGGGAAAGGTAAATGGAAGAATTTAGGGCAAGTGACGCACATGCTTTCGTTTTCAACCATCTTTAGTTCAGGACATATCGGCATATTCTTGTCCCATTGTGCATTATGGACAGTGTGTGGCTGAGGCTTTGGAAGCTGGTGGGACTTGGGAGCAAGAGGGGCTAAGGGCCATCACACCAAGCTCATAAATGTTCTAGTGAGCGGGTGTTCATGGATTGGTGGGAGAAAAAAAAGTTAAGATCGAGTTGCTTTTTGAGCAATGTTATTTCCTTTAACATTCGCTAAATGCGGTTAATAAATAATTTAACTTAGGTTAAATGTGCACAATGGGTGAACTAAGTGGCATGACTTTGGAACGATTCTGAGACATTTATTTATAAGATATGCTGGATGGTTACTTCTAGATGGTGGGTGCAGTGGTGAAAGGTTAAAATGGAAGAATTTAGGGCCAAGTGACGCACATGCTTTCGTTTCAACCATCTTTAGTTCAGGACATATCGGCATATCTTGTCCCATTGTGCATTATGGACAGTGTGTGGCTGAGGCTTTGGAAGCTGGTGGGACTTGGGAGCAAGAGGGGCTAAGGGCCATCACACCAAGCTCATAAATGTTCTAGTGAGCGGGTGTTCATGGATTGGTGGGAGAAAAAAAAGTTAAGATCGAGTTGCTTTTTGAGCAATGTTATTTCCTTTAACATTCGCTAAATGCGGTTAATAAATAATTTAACTTAGGTTAAATGTGCACAATGGGTGAACTAAGTGGCATGACTTTGGAACGATTCTGAGACATTTATTTATAAGATATGCTGGATGGTTACTTCTAGATGGTGGGTGCAGTGGTGAAAGGTTAAAATGGAAGAATTTAGGGCCAAGTGACGCACATGCTTTCGTTTCAACCATCTTTAGTTCAGGACATATCGGCATATCTTGTCCCATTGTGCATTATGGACAGTGTGTGGCTGAGGCTTTGGAAGCTGGTGGGACTTGGGAGCAAGAGGGGCTAAGGGCCATCACACCAAGCTCATAAATGTTCTAGTGAGCGGGTGTTCATGGATTGGTGGGAGAAAAAAAGTTAAGATCGAGTTGCTTTTGAGCAATGTTATTTCCTTTAACATTCGCTAAATGCGGTTAATAAATAATTTAACTTAGGTTAAATGTGCACAATGGGTGAACTAAGTGGCATGACTTTGGAACGATTCTGAGACATTTATTTATAAGATATGCTGGATGGTTACTTCTAGATGGTGGGTGCAGTGGTGAAAGGTTAAAATGGAACAATTTAGGGCCAAGTGACGCACATGCTTTCGTTTCAACCATCTTTAGTTCAGGACATATCGGCATATCTTGTCCCATTGTGCATTATGGACAGTGTGTGGCTGAGGCTTTGGAAGCTGGTGGGACTTGGGAGCAAGAGGGGCTAAGGGCCATCACACCAAGCTCATAAATGTTCTAGTGAGCGGGTGTTCATGGATTGGTGGGAGAAAAAAAAGTTAAGATCGAGTTGCTTTTTGAGCAATGTTATTTCCTTTAACATTCGCTAAATGCGGTTAATAAATAATTTAACTTAGGTTAAATGTGCACAATGGGTGAACTAAGTGGCATGACTTTGGAACGATTCTGAGACATTTATTTATAAGATATGCTGGATGGTTACTTCTAGATGGTGGGTGCAGTGGTGAAAGGTTAAAATGGAACAATTTAGGGCCAAGTGACGCACATGCTTTCGTTTCAACCATCTTTAGTTCAGGACATATCGGCATATCTTGTCCCATTGTGCATTATGGACAGTGTGTGGCTGAGGCTTTGGAAGCTGGTGGGACTTGGGAGCAAGAGGGGCTAAGGGCCATCACACCAAGCTCATAAATGTTCTAGTGAGCGGGTGTTCATGGATTGGTGGGAGAAAAAAAAAGTTAAGATCGAGTTGCTTTTTGAGCAATGTTATTTCCTTTAACATGCGCTAAATGCGGTTAATAAATAATTTAACATAGGTTAAATGTGCACAATGGGTGAACTAGGTGGCATGACTTTGGAACGATTCTGAGACATTTATTTATAAGATATGCTGGATGGTTACTTCTAGATGGTGGGTGCAGTGGTGAAAGGTTAAAATGGAACAATTTAGGGCCAAGTGACGCACATGCTTTCGTTTCAACCATCTTTAGTTCAGGACATATCGGCATAAACTCAACTCGAATGCGTAGGTCAGAGACAAAATTATCTTCAGAGACCGGATTTATTTCTGTATATATATGACGTGGTTATCTGGAGACATAGCGCATGCTAGTCGTTACACCGAGAAATTTGATGTTGCGCCTGAATTCGCAAGTGCTGTGCATGTTATCGCATCATTCCTACTAGCAATATGTTTTTAACAATATTATGTGAGATGGCGTAGGGTCAGAAATGATGTTACAGGCACCTTAACATGTGGCGACATGATTGCTGACATGTAACCAATCAAACAGGGGTGGTAAATGTGCCATTGAAGCAATTCGTCTGATGCTATGCAGGTCACGAGAGATGAAAGGCGCGAAGCTGGCATCTTCTATGTAAACCGCTTCTTTCCGCTGTGGGTCCAGTGTGGTGGAACAGCAGAAGGGGGAACACCTTCTCCAGAGTTCGTCCGTGAACATCCTAGGTTCCTCAGTCTTCTCAAAAGTGAGTCCTTTCTCCATGCTGTTGTGTTGAACCAGAGGTTCTGCTCCTAAGAACAAAACCAATAAAGTTGTGGCACTACTGAAACAAGTGAATTCGCTAGATGGTATGAATTTCAGCATCTTTATTTTAAAGCGAAGTTGAAGTAAATCAGTCACTGTAGAATAATTTTGGAATTTATATGATGAATGGTAACGAGGTTTGCACAAAATCTTGGCATTAGTGACAGATGTTGATTAGGTTTAGAAATGAATGTTTGTTCTTTGCTTGCAGAGAAGAAAACAAATGATTTCTGTAGTAATTCAGAGATAATTTGAAAAATGCTGTTATTAAGACTTTATGAAAAAAAATGCTAGTTTAACATTTCCTAATTCCAGCCGCTCGGAAAGTTCATTGAGCTATTTTGTTGAGTGTTGCAGTTCCATCTCGTACTTTATTTTATTGCAATAGGACACTCTCGGCTGGATTTCGCCGCTGGCGTCGATGTCATGCACTGTATATGTATACGTATCTATATGTATATGAAAATGGGAGAAAGAATAAAACAGAAAAAAAAAGGACTCCAGCGTGCGGAATCGAACGTGGGACTTTTGAGTCATGAATGCAAGGCGTTAGCCACTGATCCACTGAGGAGCACGTCCTTTACCGTTCAAGCGCAAGCTGTTTATATCTACCACTTATCGCTGTTGGCGAGCATCTCAGGGGGAAGCTATGTGGTTTTTCGCATTATCAGCAAGATGGCGCAATGAGCGCGCATAGGCTCTCATCTGTCACGCGTACTTTGGCTTGCGTGAGAGAATAAGGGGGGTGGAGTGGACGATCTCTGGGCGCCCTTATCTCCTGCTTGGGGGGATCATATGTCCTGGCTGGCATTGCTCTTGCACTGGAATGACTCTTTTGTAGCTACGGGGCACACAAAGGTCACTGCAATCGTTGCACAGCCTTTGTTTGTGAAAAGGGCGCGCTTTTCAGACGCAGCGAAGTAACAACTGAGATGCTTATTGGCGTTCATCTGTACCTGTGAGTACGTGTCATGCGTCATTTGTGCGTGAGAAACTCAGAGCACATTTCGATCTTCTCGACATTCTGCGCATGACCTTCCAATTTGTTGCTATCGCGTTCATTGCTTCGCCTTTGCGGCAAAGCCGGGACTTTTTGCTTGATTTTGAAGTCCTGGGCATGACCTGTTGTTGTGAGGCCATAAATGTGCAAATTCAGCTTTGTGCTTTCGTCCTTCCCACGTGCAGTGCAAGTTTTGCCTGTGTTGTTACACTGCATATACTCAATGTTAATCTAATGATTGAACAGTTGAAAGTGACATGCGAGATTACAGCACTGGGTTATACGTATACTGTGGCAACTCCTGCGAACTTCTACGTATGATATACAGTTATATCTCAATGTGACAAACCTCAGTATAATGAGATTCTCAATATAATGAAGTATATAATTTTTTATGAATCACTGCCCAAAAAAAAAGGTTACACTGTTTGGAAGCAGCACTCATGTTGTCAAACTTTTTGCGTTCTTGTTTTGATATTTATAACAACAGGTCTGTTAGTGTGACTGTCTTGCGCTGGTGGCACTGGATAAACAAAAATTTACCTGACCTTGCCTGTCTTATTTATATCTCTGTGTTTTCACTTCTCTTCAGCCTATGGTGCACCGGAAACTGTGCCGGATGGCAAGATGCCTTCGTTAAACAAGAAGGTAATAAGTATCCTTTATGTATTAATTTATTTTCGTTGCCTATTACATTGCAATGACTGCTGTGTGGAATTCTCTCGTAGAATGCGATATGCCCACTGTTGGACGTTGCTGTTCTTCTTTCGTTATATTGGGAAGGCCATCTGGGACAAAACTTCAGTCTGGCGAAAGTAAATTTGTTGAATAGCATACGCCTCTTGAGAAATCTTGACAATGTCATAGCAGTGCTAAAGAAAGTTGTTCGTGAGTATAGCGCTGGGGGCATTAGAACTTACGAGTTGCAGTGTTCCTGGCACTAAGACCTGGTGCTGCACCAGCAACACGTATACTCCTTCAGCCACTGTGTGCACCATTCACGCCAAGATAAAGCAGAAATACCGGTGAAAAAAAAAATTATTATATGTTACATAGATGTTGCAAAACTTGCGAGTTTGCCTGCACTGCTGTTTTGCACAATATTTGTTGAGTGTTTTAGTGAAAATAATTTAAGAGGCCATCAGTGTGCTGACACATTATGTTCACTGGTTTTAATGTTTTTTTGCAATACATCAGGTACACTTTTCTATTCCCGTTTTCCAGTTATGCTGTAAATAGAAGAGTTGCTGTTCTTTCGCATGATATTCTTATCTTTGCATGGTGTCCACATTTTCTAAACCTGACGAAACTGTCTCACGAACTGAAAATTTTCAGAGAAATCTTGTATGAAGGTGTCTATATTAAAGATTTTGAAAAAGATTGCATAACAAAAAAAATTTTCACTGTATATAAATAATTTGTGGCTGTAGGCATTCAACTTTGGCATGTATTTAATAATGCAGGGGCACAGCCCTTCTGAATGGCATTTCTTATAAGGGTGCAGATGTCGTGTGGAAGTGGTGTCATTCAGTCAGTCTGTTTAGTGCTTTACACAATGAACAGAGAATGTGCTTGCTTAGAGGCTCTTCGCTAATGTACCTCCAGTAATCTGCTTGTTCTGGTGCTTGTCACAAACATATCACCTCTCGAAATGATCCTTCACGAAAACCCTCTAGCCATTGAAATTCATGCTCCGCAAGAACCAGACCGGGGACCGATTAGGAAGCGCCTACCATGTAAGTACTGAAATTTTCATGCGAACTCATTGGTAAATATGGCTAAGGTTATGTTCCAGTTTCAATTTAATTATCACATATTCAAGGTTTGTTGTATTGCCTAGTGCTATTGCTTTCATAGAAAACTAACGACAGCACCAATCTGACTGCAGCATCATTGCCACAGAAGCTGAAATCTGGTGTTTAAAAATTTGTGTGTGGAGTAACATGTGGGATACTTTATGCCATTGACGCCCGAAAAAGTTTAAAGACGCATGGCTACTTTAGGCAGTGACAATAAAGATCCGTATAAGTAATGTAAAATATTATTGTAGTGCCGCGTACAGGCACTACTGAAAGCAACATTCTTTATCAAATTCGTGCATGCATTCCGTTTCTGTTAGGACTGCAATATCAATAGTAAACTTTTCTGTTTATGAGGGCATTTTCATGAGGGCTCACTTGACTTGTCATTATAGGCGTTAGCATCATAATGATCATAATAGACATCATTGAAGTGCATCTTTATTCCAAATGCTCAATGCACATTCATCATGGCATTGCAATGCTATCTGCTAGCTCCGCTACCAGGGCCTATTGATATGTGTCATGATTTTATTTAAAACACATTAGGTAGGTATGATTGACCTAGACCGATGCAATATTCAGAAATGCCAATATTACTTTATGACTTTCCAGAAACCTCTCTCTTTTGCATTATATCGGGTGGTTGCATCATGTCCGTTCGAATGTATATTCATAGCGCGAGAGAAACTGCTTCATAGCGTGTGCGACGTGCACATATGTTTCTGAAAAGAAAAGCATGTAGAGTATACAGGTCATGTACGATTCTTTTCAGCCTGAGCGCGAACCTCTTTCCGTTTTTTGTTGCCTTGTTTGTGGTGTAGTGTCCATGTCGGTGGAGAAGTTGAAAGCCCTGGTGACGCAGCTGTTTCCCCGGAAAGGGAGCCGCTTCTGTCTTTCGCTCGCAAGTCATGAGGTAGGTGTCTTGAGCCGCTCCTCAGGACGGGATTCACAGTGTGTTTCAAAGAGGATTTCTAGAAGTTAGAAGCCTATAGAAGCAGTAGGACTGGCAGAAAATAACTTTCCTCTTTTTCACCCAGTGTTTGAGAATCTTTTTGACCCTGCAAGAGTTCCAGGTAGTTCAATTTCTTGTTTAACTGATTCATGATGTATGGTTATGCTTACCAGTTGCTTCTTTTATTTTAGGGACCGAACCTAAGTAACTCCTTCACCTGTGGAATTCACTGCACACATGCTAAATGAACACGTGGACAAAAGCACTGACCCTCAGCTCATTTTTTTTATTCCAAAGAAATGAAATGGCAGAACATATAAAGCAAGCAAACAAGAATGTACAGAATTCGTAGTATAGACACCTGGTGGAGGTGGTGCTCCTTCGTGGAGAGCACCTCCTCAAAAGAGCACCTCCACTAGATGTCACATTGTCGTGACGACGAAGACAGCAGTTGATGTGTTCAACATGACTCTCTATTTGGGCAAAGCTGTGCCCATGAGACGAAAACTTGAACTACAGCAATATATATATACTGTACACTGATAGCAGTGAACAGCGCATTGGCTGTTGATAATTTGATCTGTGGTTTAGGCGTGTTGGCATTTATAGATACGGCATATCGCTGGTGGTCGCCTTAGTTCAATAACAAACTCAGCTAAATGTTTGCGTGCTCAACGCTTTCAAGAGATTCTAACATAATCTTAAAAATTCTCAGACATTGGTGTGCGATGCGTGAAAGGCAGTGGTTTTACTATGTGGCAGACTCGATGCTTTGAGGTAGTATGCGAGGGAGTATTAGACCCGTAATAAGATCACGTGCTATTTGACGCTAACAGACAGAAAAAAAAAAATCCCACATTTCCACGAAGTGAGTGATGATGAGTGAGCGAAGCATTGGAGGTAAATAATGAGTGGGCTTGTTACGCTCATCGCGGGAGTCTTTGCAAGTAGAGCACACGGTGTACTCACTGTGATCTTCATTGGTGGCGGCAAAATCTCATTGTAGATCGGCAATGGCGTCGACTTGGGATTTCTCGTTTGTGATGCTGGAAGTGGTGATCAAATTGTTGTCGAACCACAAGCAGTCGCAAACCTTGTCGCTGTGGCATTTCTCGATCTAAATATATCTTCTCGATCTAAAACGTCGCGCTTAAAACGCACATCGGCGCCACCAACCTCAGGTAGCGATCGCTTCAAGAGGTTGGCTGCAGCATTCTTTGCCCGCACCGCCTCGGGATCCACTTGCCGGCGCTTCTGTGCCGCCACCACTTCGGCGGCTCTCAGCTCCGGGTTCGCTTGTCTGTGCGCGTCACAAGCCTTCTTCGCCCCCGAATCGGTGCCTTGTCGTTAGCGACGAGCCCATGCCACTTCGGCTTCTCGAGCTCTCACTTCCCAGTCCTGACAGCAAGCCCGCACTCAGATGTAGTGGTAGCTCAGTTGGTAGAGCATCGGAAGCGATATTCGAAGATCACAGGTTCAGTCCCTGCCCACGTCAAGTTATCTTTCCAGCCACTTTTTTCACATTTACATTTATTCACTACTAGTAACATCCCCTATACTTTACTTTGCTGTGTTGTCTAATAGTTTTCATTTGATATTGTGTCTAACAATGAAAAGCAAGCCCTCAAAATTTCCACTTTTCTTCGTGTAACAAACCGTTTACATGGAAATACGAAAACGAGGACGAGTGCAAGTGCCACAAAATAATTGCAGCTCTGTCACAGTTACTGTCTTGCGTCTTAGTCGAGGTCTTTGCTCAAGTGCTTCTTGCACTTTCTTTCGCCCTCCTTCAGGAAGGAAAGGAGTCTGTGCTGGACAAGGAGCGCCTTGACCTCAGCTTCTACGACATCACCGATGGCAGTCGCATTTATGTGCGCTGGTAGGGCACACAGCGCACCGAGTGTGAAACGTTTTTGAGTAAGGTGTTGTGATGGCCTGAAGGAGTAAACTTCCCTGCTGTGCTCGTGTCAGGTCATTTACCCTGGTGTGCATCCGTCTCAACGCTGCACCGCATTCGACTTGGCAGAGCGATCTACCGCCGCCGTGTAAGCCGTGAAGTCCAGTGGTTGTCAAGAGATCATCTGCCATTTTATCTTGCTGCAGCGAAAACATTTGCTATATGTGTATGTGTGCAGCATCACGAGAGATATTTGAATAGAACAAATCTTACTATACTTTTTCTTTTTCGTTTAATTATCAACCTGTTTGTTTGTGTGACATTTATTTTAAGCTCAGACCTTCTGTGAAGGTCTGCTGCGCCAGATTTTATTCGTGTATCAGTACTGCATAACAGCTTCCGGTAAAGAAGCATACCAAAAGCAGTAAGGTGCGTGGCCACGCCACCATCCCTTGCACATGTTTTGAGGGTGATGGCAATCGCCGCTGTGAGTGCACCATGTCACCTTGACAGAAAACCGCACAATCATCCAATTTTTAAAGTTTCCCCAGCAAGAACAGTTCTATTTTCAACATTATTGCTTAAATACTCACCTCTAATTTATGACTTCTTTTATTTTTTCAAATATGAACTGGCCCACGTGAGAACATTCTCAGATATACACTACTATAATGTGGGAGTCAATTGTTCAGCTGCATGCTTTTGGGTGACGTGTGGGGCGACGTGTTAACTGTACTTTGTAGAAAACTGCTGCCTGCCTGAAGTCGCAGCATTTGTTACTGTGGTGTGACGCATTTTATTTTTTGTATAACTGTTCAGACTGTACCAAAGTTTCAGATGGGCCTTGTTCAGTTATTGCACTGATATTTGTGCAGGCATTTATATAGCTTCCCCGCATTCTGTAGAAACTTAGTGAGCATTTGTAGGGGCAACTTTGTTATACTCCTCAAGTTGCTTTATGATTGGCTCTTTAGCTGAATTTAATCAATATGCTTTTTGCCTCTTCGTGCGCCTGCTTTTCAGGCTTTGTTTTTAAGTTGTTTGAAGTACGGTTTACTTTTACAGTGTACCCTAAGGCCGAGTGAGGACATGTAGTTTGCGGTGAGTGCAGTGCAATCAAGTTTACTTGACTGCCAAGCAAAGCACGCCCCTGCACTAGTGCCATTTTCAAGTGCAACAATGTTGCCCGAGCCGCTTGTAGCTGTTGCAGTGGCAACGTTAGTTTCTAAGCGTAGAATGTGTAGTTCCCACCCTTATATGCTGCATCGAGTAGGCAGAGTCTATGCACACTGCACATACTTGGCCTGCGCAGCTGTTGCCACAAATGAAAAACCTGTTATGAAATTCAAGCAGTTTTAATTTGTCAAGCCCAGCTGTAAACTTCGGCATGAGCATAGGGAGTACTTGCACCCCACTAGCTGAATTTCACGTGAACTAAGGAAGAATATCACGTCCTGATGTCATACCATCACTGTACAATTTGAGTAAAATGCAAGTTTCTGCTTGCCATATTACATCAGTACTCTTCGATTTGCCTGCACCACCTGAACCAGTTCACAAAGTGCTGCACCTTGCCATATGTTTCAGCGATGCAGCACTAGTGAACTCTGAACCATGTGGTTCATTTAAAAACCTGCAGTGCTGGTCGATTTTTCTGCACCCCCTATGCTGATGGTGCCAGCTTGGTCGTGTGTGTGCACTAGCAGCTGAGCAGATGACTCAAAATCCAGGCATAGACGCCTTAACCACATTTACTCGTGGTGTCTTTTTTTCAAGATGTTTGCGCCTTATAAGCTGTCTGCATATGCTGTTTCCCACTTGTGAATGTTAGGTGGAAGACGTATATCAAGCGGGCCACTGCGTCGGCACCTTCCTCATTTGTTTCTGGTGTTGCACTGTGTCCTGCACCACCGAACTTGCTCCGCCCATTTTCCGAACTTCTCGATCACTGCTGTTAATTGGTTCTGATTGCTGTAGGCAAATCGAACATACCCATAAGTACAGCTGTTTCACCAGTATTGGAGGTTCGCCCGTGTCGCTGGAACCCCAGTAACCTAAACCTTGTCACTATGAGGTTTTTGACCTTACTGCCAGGGCAAGGGTCAGCAGCAACATGCTACTCTACTAGTGGAGTCACTCGTGTCATTTATATAAGGGTCACGTGACCCGAAGCTGTTGTGGTGCTAATCAAACCCTTCCTGGGTGTCACGCAATGTGCGACAGTTTAGAACGGCACACATCATAGCCATGCGAATGGCCAGGTTTCATTCTGGCAGGCCGTGTGGTGGAAACGGTTAATTTACTTCAACAAAAACGCACAGAAAACTTATCAAAACGCACAGTTGTTGCTCGGGAGTTGTAACAAACATTGATATATCATGGCGTGTGCCACATTTAGCAAATATTTTTGATGCTCTGCAGTGGAAGGGGTATATAGTGTGCTACACGTGCTCTAGGTGAACTATCTAATGCATTAAAATACTCGGCAGTTGCCCATCAGCAGAGAGAAATACGTATGTGCCTGCTCTTCGAATGCTTATCTTTTTTACAGATTTTAAAAAGCACCAAATCTAGCTAAAGATAATTTTGTCGCAAGTGTAAGGCCAACTTGCATAGAATTCTTTCGAGACTGCTGTAAATAACTGAAATAAACACGTTCATATTGAACAATTTCGGGCTGATAACACGCAGTGATCTTGAATCTGCTTATATTCTTGACAATATTGAGTACGTCGTCATTTTCTGTCAATGTTCTGCCAAAGCTATGTGTTCCTCCATGCAGGCACAATCCTTGCCTCTGCCAAGTGATAACACAATCGTTTGAGTTTTTAGTGACTGTAAAATCCCACACATTGTGTTCCTTATTTTTTTAATGACTCTCACATTTCCGTGCTTCAAAAGTCAAACTAGAGACGGACACATTGAGAAGAAGCACGAGCAAGCATTTTGACAACTTTGCAGCTACAACAGCAACGAAAAAATCACACACACCGCAAGAAAACATATGCATGAAATGAGTCGTGCGGGCACAAGTACAACGAGGAACATGTTAGTGCACAATGAGGGCTTAAAAGATTCGGATTACTGAATGTAAAGGACGTTAGAACAAGAGCTGTGCAGTTTGTGCAAGATTACATAAAAGACATGAGCTTCGAATGGAGGTGTGAGGACATTGGTAAGTGCACGTACATGTATCTTGCAAAATGGCATTATAATAATTTGACATGCCAACCAAAGTGCCGACTCAACCAGACATCTTGCATTTAAACAATGGAACCTATTCACATACATACGAAGCACCTTCAGTGACGTGTATTATAAATATGTCCTCGCAAATGGTAAAGAACAAAGTTCAACCTGACAGCACTTGTCTTCTCTGTGTGTAGAATTTCTACAAACCAATAACCACGAAATAAATTCTATTTATGAAATGAAGCCCTACAGCCATGTCACAAAGTTTAGAAGCAACTCAAACCTCGATATAACAAAGTGCAGTTATAACTGAAATATCAGCTATAAGGAAGTAAATTAATACTCTTGCAAAAATGTGTTAGTAATATACCTTTACAATGAATTCTTGGATATGAAGAGTTCATCTTGTATAAGGTGCAATTTTGTTATGAGGTTTGAGTATAGTTTAAGTGTACAAGCATACAGCTGCAAAAGGCAAAAAGTTAAGCGAAAAAATCATTCTGCAATGAAAGTAGGCAAGCTTCGTTTGTAGACTGAACTACAACTTCCAGCTTCAAGTTCACCGAGGCTTGTGCTGCATTTTTGCTGTTTAAGCTGCGAGATCATGTCAATACTTCCGTATTGCAGTTGTCAACAGAAAACAGTAACCAGGACTTCTTTCAGTTAATTCGAACTGGGCATCTTGGTTGCATCAACGGCAATGCATTTCTTGCAGCTCTGCATTTCATAATGAGCTCTACGAGATGTGAAAAGGTGCGACGTGCCAGCATTTCGCAAATAACAGAGCTACCATTCAGCTCGAAACTGTCAAACAACATCAAAGGCAACTGGGTTCCTGCCTATTGCACGGCGCACCCTTCTCAAACCTCTGCACACAACGGGCTCAGGTACCGCAATGAAACATCGTTCGTCCGGTTTCTACTACACAGACACGGAGGTACATATTAACTACGACTACACACTTTTGGAGTGTTCCACAGTTCCCAAGTACTCGAAATGCCCATGGTAACAATGGCTCGGTGGGAAAGGGAAAGTCTCCTACTAAATGAGGCTTGTTAGAGTGCAGACAGTAGGCGCAAATTGAACACACCGCTGGAAATACTCTCGTGAAAACCCTGTTGCACCACTTGGATGTGTCGCATCAAATCTCCCCTCACGACATGCCTTGAACAAGAAACCTCCTCGCGGAGGCATAGAAGTGGTGGCAGCTTGTCATCTCCCATGAACTTGCTTTAGTAATTTATGAAAAGCACCGTGCAAGGCCTCGGTTAATCCATTACTTCTCACAGACACACTTGGCAACAGTAGACTCTCAGTAAACAGAACTTGAAGGGACCGGGAAAATATGGTCCATTTAACAGAAGTTTCATTTACTGAGAGGAGAGCATGGGTGCAGAATACTACAAGCCTGGAACCAAGCATTTCAGAGGTAATAGTTACATTTAAGCAGTAGTTCCGTTTAAAAGATTTACGTTTACTGAGTCTACTTACACTAGATCACAGACTAGCTTAGGTTGCAAGCATCTGCATCTAGATTTTTTTTTTGGCCAATACTACAACAAAAACTGCTAACTACTATGCAGCGGAACAAACTTCGCCCTATGCTAACTCATTTATGCTTTTGATCAAAAAAAAAAATAGTGTTCGAGAGAACACGGAAAAAGAATTATAAATTTGTGAAATGATATTTTTTTACTGAGGAAATGAAGGGTTAATGCCGCAACACTTTCAACTTGCTTCGGACCTTTGTTAATTAGCACACATGGCCACAGCATCGTAAAGACTAAGACCGCGCCTTAACGGCGCACATTTGTTGATGAACAGGAGCTATCAAAAGACATCCCAAACTGCTTTGTTGAGGGCCAGAGCATTCGGGTGGGCTAGGGAAAAGTTGGAGCGCTGCCAAACCGGAAGCAGAGCTGTTGCTGCACAGAGAGCACATCTACACTGTCCTCTTGCTGAAGCGGAGTAAAAGTAGTCTCGTGACTAATATAATTAGTCGCCTTGCTTTTGCATTTGAATTCAGTCAAAACTGGGGCAGTTGGCACGTGAATTCAGCAAATGCATCCTCCCTTCGCTGAGCTGCCTGACATACCGAATGACGACAGTTGCTAGAGCCGAAGTTCGGTGTTCACTTCAAGTTAGCTGAACTGTAGAGCATCTGATGACATACGAAACAAATTTGGCTATGCTTTCCACATATGCATCAAATCACAGAGCATGACAAATCTTCCAAGGTAGCAAAAAGAGTTGCACTCTGAACACTGCCAGTGATTCTATGCCTTTGCTTCTGCTCGGCAAATGTCAGTGCCATAGAGTGAAGCCATTTGCTCTCAATATTTGCATTGAATATTTGCATTCAACATGAAGCTTAACCTAAGCGTGCCAATGACATGCAACTGCTAGGTAGGTGAAATTGTTTTGTTGTCCAAAAAAGCACTTCCAGAACATATTCAAATGTCATGAGCTGCCCCTGATGGGGACGTTGTGGCTAGGTCTTGCAGAAGTACTATGCTAGGTTGATGGCGCCACTTAGATCTGTTACTGTGCAAGCATCTCCAAGTCAATCTTTAGCTACATTAAAACCAATTAGGTGTACAAAGACTTGCAGTGTAAGACAGCGTATAGATTATCCTCTATGCGATATTCTTCAGCTAACTGTGGAGATAGAGAATACACTACAAGTGTTTACAGCCACACTGACAGTACGAAAAATGCGTGCAGAAAGTGCATTGCTGCATAGAGATGAGGCAAACCTGAATGTAGCTGATGAACAACTGTCCCACAGAGAGAACACCAATGTAAACTCGCTTGCCAGAACATTGAAACAGTAAGTTCACATATATGACAACCAAGTTGGAAAGTCCAAAGAAATGCTTCACTTTTGCCCATGTGCACTTTAGCCCCAATGCAGTAACTATTTATTAAGAAATACGTGCCTACAAAGACTTTTGGAATTGCTTTCGTGTTAGCCCTATCTACTTGACAAACCAACAAATATAGTTCACGCCTCCTTCCGTGTTTATATTTCTGCCACTCTCCAAAGATGCTCATAAGCTCTAAATCGAAGAGAAGGTCGGCAAATAAAGGGTTGTAACAAGTGACTTTGCGTACACCATTCTGTGACCTTTAGTACCTTGCATTGTTGCATGGATATGCAAGGTTACATGAAAACCGAAAAATTGACTAGTATGCTCAAAAACGGGTATTCTTATGTCGGGTAGAAACTAACAGCTGTATTTAAGTGACTGTAGGCTATTATTGCTTCATATTATTCAATTGTTTATTGGCCTTCCATTGACCTTAAAATCAGGCTGTGCATAGAAATACCTTTTGTTTAAGTCAGTAGTGCTTTTCAGTGGTACATTTTCCAAATCACAAGTTCCTCTCCTGTTGTCGCCGTCAAGGTATACCAAGTTTACTCCGGAAAGCATTTACTATTGCTTCATAAGATGGTACTTATGGTACAGCAAATATCAGCGAAAATTTGCTGCCATTATAAAAAAAATTGTCCATTTTAATACTGTTTGGCTTAGCGAATGCATCAACATTGCTGCACTCTTCATACCTGTCTACCAGGCGGTGATCCGCCAATCAGAAGCGGGCCAAATGTTCACCGTATGGGATGCTTTATCATATTCCATGTGCAAATTAATAAAACATACAGAAACAAAAAGGCCACAATGCTGAGTCTTTCTAAAAGAGTTTAGGGCGTCTCTTTTAACAATTGTGCGCATCGCGAGAACCAGTAGACAAGTTTTGCTTCTATAGACATACAGCAGCTGCTGCCAACTGTCCGCGAGGCAAAAATGTATTAAAAGGCGTGGCATTTTTTAATTACACAGGCTCTGCGAATGCGCTGTCTTCAGTGAAGTAAATACTGCCTACAACAGCGTGTGGCATTTCCAATTGCTAATGCAGTCAGTCGTAGTAGCAATAAGAAGTTTCATCAGTCCATGTCGTCTCTGTACAACAATGTGCCAACAAACAGTGCACAGCTTTTACCAACCTTCTTGGAACATCAACCAAGTTGAAGTAAATTGCTTTTACTTGGCAATGTGTTGTTGTAAGTTAACCGTGCGTACACCACAAGAGGGCAAGAAGCTTCTCGGTCATGACGAAAGTAACACTACAAATTGAGGGGCGTGCTGTTCAGTCGGCATGGGCTGCATAATAACCGAGAGTTCTGCGACACCATGTCTCAGCCTTATGTTTCAGACCACCCTATAGTGATGCCATAACGCATCCAACGTTCGTTGGCAACCGATATGCTTTAGTAACAATGCTGCTTTGTTGTCTGCATACCCACTTGTCCACTGTGGGGAACTTCACAGCACAAAAAGACCACTATCGCATCACACTATTCCTATAATACTACTGAGAAGGCTTTTAGAATTAGTTGTTTGTTTACAATAGCCCTTTTTGCACCACATTGCATCAGCTCATCGTAGATTTAATGTACGTTTAGACAGCAGTCTCGGACAAGCTGAACAAATTCCAAGTTATATTGCCAGATATCCATGCCCTTTGCCTGGCACAAGTGTTTTGCATAGTGGTTGGTTTCCTAATGTATTTCTTTGGGAACATGAAAGGGATACAGGCTTTGGCAATCTACCAACGATGTCTCACAACAAAGAAAGAACGACAGTCTTCACTGGCAGTTTCTTGAAATGCTTGCTTCAACCACTGACAGTGACATCGAGTCACTCATTGACTATGGGTACGAACTCCTTGTGAATGTAGCCTTAATGCGAGAGAGTGGCATTCAGCTAGACCCAAATATAACACCACGACACAAGCAGCAGCGATAAAAAAGGATCAAAACACAGTGTGCACATTTATTCGTTCCAATGAACGTCTACCTCACTGCACTTACTGACTACTACTACTACTAATACAGTAACGTGGCGAAATTCTAAAAAACAGCCCCTTTAACAAAGTGCACCTGGCAGTGAATTAATTAGTAGCACCCACGATCAAGATGTCAGTCGCTGACGAGATTCAGCAAAAGTTGGGCAAGAAGGGGAAAGAATGAGGGAAACATAGACAGGACATTAAGAAAGGGCAAAATGGAGTCACTTTCGTTTCATGAATGATATATACTGGATGCCAACACTCACTAGATAAGGTAGCCAATTGGAGTGCTTAAAAATGCAATAATAAATTACAGTGTTCAACCTTGCAATGACACGACAACTTTGAGAAATAATGAGGGTAGGAGCGCTCTAACAAAATTTTGGAATCGAAACCTTGATTTCAAGTTCGGAACAACGCCATAGTTCTTGGTCACATCCATCAGGTTCAAAACCTCACATTTCCCACTGTATAAACATGACACAACCTGCGCAGCAAATGTGAACACACACAACGAACTCTCAACGAGATTTTCATTCCCAACATATATTTGTAATGATTAGCTACTGTTGCTGATAGGAAGTTCAATTACCTGGCAATGAAAAATGAAGAGGAAGTGGAAAGTCGGATGAATTTTAGCAGCCTTTACAACTCGAGCTTTCTTTCATACAGCCTTTTTCAATACAAGATGTCGATAAGGCACCCTTTGCGCCCAATTCGTGAAGCCAGGTTGCTTGCATTCGGAAAAGCATGGCCTCTAAATCCCCAGGGCAGCGCAGAGTCCTTTCAGCAGTGCGAGAGGGCTGATGATACACTCAGCCCATTCTTTTTGGTTTCACAGTATGCACCTTGTCTCCAACTGCTATTTGAAGTGACGTGTGACCTTGTAGGCCCATAGTTACTGAAGATCAAAAATGTTCGGGATCGTAGTCTACCACTGTAGCTAGGTTTCTTTGCATTCATTACGTAGTCTCCAAATACTTTCGGGACGTGACCCTGATGCTACTGAACAGTTGCAAGTTGAAGAGCATATTTAGAGTATTCAAGTTGAAATTTGTCGTCACCAAGGCACTAATTGATGTTAAAACTGACTCAATGAAATGAAGTACCTAACGAGCACAATAAAAAACCACGAAGCCTTTAGAAACTATGACACAATTTGTATAAAGTTTGTTACAAAAATACACACAATGCGACATGCAACATTAACAACACTGAAGAGACCGGTCTCATTAGTTTATATAAGACCGGCAAGGTATTGAGGATTGGTCGACACGACTTGCAAACAAAAAAGGGCATTACATAGCATATAGAGCAGCAAGAAATACCTGTTGTCCATCACTCGATACTTTGGTCTCGCAAAAAATAGCATAACCGCAGCAAAAAGTCTATGGCTCATGCTTTGCGTAACGAGAGACCACAGTCGTGACTTGTAGCAACCACCAAGCTACGTGGTGCACTTAGGGCGAATGAACGCACCACAGAACTTGGCAGAGAGAGCTACTGACTGCCCACTGTGGTAGAGTGAGACGATGCAGTGCGCGAGACTCGAGACATAAAAAAAATATTAAATGCAGAAACGCGCCCACAGCACTAAAAAGAATGGCCGAAAGAATAAGCCAGACTAAAAATGTCAATGCATACGCGAGATTTGGCATAAAACGAAGCGCTACATTATTAGTACAATCGTGGGAAAGAAATAGAAAGTATGAGAATACATGCTGCTATACGGCTATATAGAAAAAATTTTGCTGCCACAATGACAGCTGCAAAATGCCCAAAACTTCACTCGAGCACTTTCAAGGCAACTTAATCTTGAAATTCTTAAGTTTCAAAAACGTGCGATCTGCCGTATCACACTTGAGCTGGGTAGAGGAATCACCGTCGAGCCTGCCACGCATCGGATAACACTGGTCGGCAATCAAAGCACTCGCTGACAAGACAAGTTCGTCGCAGCTTGTCAAAGGTGGCCGGCTCGCTGCAACGTGGCCTTGGGTTTTCGTTGAATGTGCAGCTTTCCTCAAGGGAGTCGGCGACAACTTTAGTTTCCGCAGTACGCTGCCGAGTGTAAACATAGCAGGTTCATCAACACATGTGCACGCACAATCAACACGAGGCTTTCGGGAGTGTCACACAGGGATTCGTTTTCACAATAGATGAATGGCACAACAGGCGTGCAGCACCAGAGGACGCCAGGTGGCCGGCGCTACGTGTTGTCAGTCACGACGAATGACCATGTCTTGGGCTTCAACAACCAGGTTTGCTTGTTTTTCTTTTCTTTCACATTTGATTTCTGTAATGAAAAGAAAGAGGGAAAAAACATGAAATGTGTGCACTGCAGCAGTAATGGCACAGGGCAATTCTACTGCGATGAACTGAACAATGGTGCAAGTACAATATGGCAATTGCACGGCGCGACGAGAAGTGGCAGCTTCTCTCAACCTTGTAAAGGAACGCGAGCCTAAAGCAACCATGGTTATGCGTCCCCTCGTTCTGATGGACCTGAATGGGTTCCCCCAAGACACCGACACTATCGCTTTATCATCTGCCTTTCAAGGCCGTGTTATTGTTTAACTCCCTCGTCCTTACGACAACGAAGTTGCAGTCCATGTCACACGGCCACCCTTACGCAAACGAAGGTAAACGGAGCATTTCGCAAAGGACGTTCGACGATCTCCCTTCGCAGCGAAACGAGGTACTCTCGTCCCCAGCAGTCTAGAGGTCAGAGAAAAATTTCGAGCACGAAGTGGCTGCAGTGAAACAATAATACATTTTTTGCAGTATTAAACATTTTTTTTGTTATAGTACTCAATCACTACGCGTGTGTGTTTACATATATTTACGCCCGCCAGAGTTCACTTACTCTCAACATCGATGCCTTACACACCGTGCCTCGCGAGTCGGGCTGGCCGGCGCCAGCCGATCATCGTCATTACCAGCGCAATATCGTATTACTTCCTCACGTCGTCCGCTGCGTCACTCATGGCTGAAGAACACAAAATGTGCGCTCACGAGGCAGAGCATAAGAACTTTCGTACCGAGCATGTATACCGGCAAGAAAACAACTAAAAGCACAATGTGGCCAGCGTCACTAGCAGCATTGCTAAATTTAGCAAATGCTTTTCTATTTGAAATTATTTTTGATGGTTTGTTAGTCGCATACTTACTTAATAGTGCTTTTTTGTAAAAACCGCACAACAAAGATTCACAAAAAAATCAATAGAGATGATATTATAATGCTTTTCCGAAAGTCAAACAGCGCCAGCTGAGCCCCCTTGCGGCAACTGTTGCAACCTTCTCATTGCCGTGTGACACTGCCACAACTCCTTCTCCGTCGAACCCCCTAGGGGAGATTTACATTGACGGTGTTCAACGGAGTTTGTTGGTGGCCGTGTGACAGGGGTATAAGTTATGTACGTTCTGCAGTTACCCTGTAGGGTGATACGGAATGTACACGGCAACTTTCAAGATGAAAGTGAGCTGCTGGTAGGCACTTCAGAGTCCACGAATTTTGTGTTCGCAACTGGCGACGGCAGCATGGGCAGCTGAAAGCCACCAAGACGCGTTCCGTGTGCCTAAGACTCAGATGAATGATAAAACTTTATTTCGTCATAAGGTAACTGCGGATGATTTCGAGTTAGATGACCATCAGCCCAGGGTTAATGTCGCACGTTAACCCATTGCAGGCTCCTGTTCAGTGACGAACGCTAACGCAGCGCCTGCAAGCTTTTCGTACAATATTCCAGAACTTTTTGTGTCTTAAATAAATCTTGTCTTGTGTTGAAGCCATGGTTTTATTGTTAAGGCAAGTCTTGATTAGTACTTGTCACAGTTTACGGGCGACACAAGTTGCTACGGCACTGAGCTTTAAGTGCGAATGCATCGAAAAAGCCTCACTTACCACAGCAAATGCCACAGCCACACCTAGGCCACCTCTCACCAGCAGACAAACAACTTCAATAGTGCCACGCTTTGCAACAGAGGAGCCGGATGACGGAGGGAAGAAGGTAGTGTCTGTGACATTTTCATAGAGTCGGGGGCCACGTGTCAGATCCGAGGCACGCGCCTCTGCGAAGACCGTGGGGGATTTGGTGGAGACGGTGGTGATGGTGGGTGAGTGGATGAGGGACTGTGGACCCTAGAGGTGCTGCCCTCTTGGATGCTGGCCTGTGCAAGCGAACAAGGTAGGTTGTAGAAGTGTCACTGTGACTGTTGTCTACGTACACTTCATTTCACACTTGGCAAGTGACGCTGTGGAGTCTATGCATTCAAACTTCAATATTATGAAGTCCGTAGAGTAAGCAGTTTACTTCATCATAATGAAATTTCGTTAAACTGAAATTCTATCTTTTAACAGGGGTCGCCCAAACAATTTCAAAACCCTCCCCACCTCCAGCCCCCTCCACTATCCGCTGAATTCCGCTCGACGAAGCGGAGTTCAGGTGCAGTAGGTATACCTGAAACTTACAAGCTACAAAGAAGGTGCCCTATGCTTCACTTGCTTTCATATGACTGCATGCAACGAAAATCCCAATCAAATCACTCAAATCAGCATGTTCACTAGTAAATGGTTTCATGCTTGCAATGATTTCTACGATAACCAAACTGCTTCGTATTTTACATAATTAATGTACCACATTTCAAATTACATTCCCGACTTAAATGATGTACATGCCTGCATATTCCTTTCATGTGACATACTCGTTCTTCGTCGTAAGTGCGAGCAATTAGAAAAGCGCGCAGTGTAGGCTGCAGTGTGTGAAAGGAAAGCAGAGAGCGAAGCGCACAAAAGGCGAACCACCATTGTTGAGGCATCATCGTGAACACATGCGACACAGGTGTTGTAGCACCCCTCTCTATGTAGCGGTAGTGAATTGCAGAAACGCACTTAAACATTGATGTAACAAACCTGGATATAACGAATTATCAGTTATAATAATAAAGTAAATAAAAAATAGTCTTGCAATAGATATGGTGTTAGGAATACACCTTCATAACGAACGTCCAGATACAACGAACTTACTTTCGTGTAACATGCGAATCGAGTGCATTGTAAAAAAAAAAAAAAAAATCAAGGATGCTCCGCTAAGTTGAGGCACAGCTTACAATGAGCAGTACCACGTGCAACAGTAATTTATTCCGCAAGACCTACGCATATTAAAAAAATAAGAAATACACAGGTTGCATGCATGGCAATGGTCATCATGCTCTGTCAGAGCCAAGAGCAGTGCCAACTGCCACAATGGGGTTGCGCTGCGTTTCGGAGGGCGAAATATAAGGAAAACTGGTGGTCAAAATTAATCTGAACTACTTCGATAAAGTACACTTCGTAAGTATAATTTTGGCATGTCATAAAAACCTCAATCAATCAAGCAAAAAATCGATGCACTATACTGGTCTATATTTCTTAGCATTTGGTGCTATTTTAATTAGGCTTAACTATAGCGTGAACAGCTGTGAGATGCTGGACCAATGCAAGCTTGGTAAACTGAAATGACATAGATCTGCCTACCCAGAGCATGTAGAAGCTACGAACATGAACACAGTAATGACACAGAGCTACCCAACACCTCTCATAAGTTGTTGTCGCTATGCTGTGCGCGTCACTTCCTCTTCTCTCCTAAATCTTCGACAAATACACTGTCCAGCACAGTTTCAGACATCTCAGTGCTCATACTGTGACATGATATGGCACAGCTGTAGGTAAGTAATGTATACTTACTAGCCCGGTCTCACATAAAAAAAACAACAACGTTCAATGCGCCACACTGGAAACTGCTCTGCCAGGTTGCCCGTAACGTGCCCGTAAGCCACCGTGCCAGTATCGGGATTGAAAATGGCATGTGCGTCACTAAGGAACACATACGGCAGTCCGTAGCAGTGCTACCCTTTGAATCTTGGTACATTTTGCTGTACGACATGACTGTACTGCAGGAAAGTAGAATTAAAGAAGCTGGTCTTTCTTTAAATGCTGTGCAGTGCACATTAAACCTTTGCTGCATGTGCACACCTCAACGCATGTCTTTATGTGAAATTGACTCTTCACACACATCCTAAAACGAAGCATCGAGAATTGCTCCACACACACAAACACACACGCACAGAGCGAAGCAGAAAGAGGCAGTGCATGGAAAGCAGCGCCCCCGGTGCACAACAGGGCGCATTTAATGTGAGACTCATAGGCAAGGGGAGCTAGCCTGTAGTGCGATGGGTGTCAGCCACTCTCGGGGCAGGCAGCGCTGGAGGAAAGGCACACAGGAACTGAAGTACGCCAGTCGGTTCACCCAGGCCGGGATCTCTTCACCGCACAAGATCTGCAGGTAAGAGGGGAGGGGGCAAACTACATATGTTCTCAGAAACCCACACCAGAATCTGTAAAAGCCATAGAATGATATTGTTCACCTGGTACACAACTCTACACTGGTGTAAATGCATGTGCCCAGCCAGCTAACATCATGATACTTCTGACTGATTTCATTGTTTGTCACTGCAATCTCAAAACATAACCTGCCTAAGAGGAAAGCTATGTGGCTGTACGAAGCAGGCAGCATTTACCGAAATGTTGCCAGACGCTTACCACTACTTCCATCCTTATCGCACACACTCACATGCATGCATGTACAACCATGAATTTTTGAAATACAAGCAACTTTTAGCTCACTAATGTGCATTGCCTCGTCCTTACTTCGGCAGGTACACATAATGTCAGCAAGACATGAGCTTGCACGTTCAACACAAGACGTAAGTCATCCTCGGCAATGTCATCATTAGCAGTACTAACATAGCACTCTCGAGTTGTCAGTACCGAAACCTGTTCTACTTTGTAATGTCTCGCTACCATTCAATTTGTAGATGACTACATATCCTGATGTGCACCAAGAGGAAAAGAAAATCATGTCACCTTGGTAAGGGCGCCCGAGAAGTGGTTGCAGTTCTTGTTCATCAGGTGGTATCGGTCCCCACGGTACTCGTTTCCCAGCTCCTCGACAATCTTTCGCACGTCTACCTGGTTGAAGTCCGTGTGGCCCACCAGAATGCTCTGCCTGCATGCGTCAACAAGGCACTAATTGCACATAATCATGCAACCATTGTTTTAACAGTAGTGCTTATGTTTAAACTTTTCATCCCGCTGCTTCGTGTGTGTGACCAGAAAACTAAGCTATGCCAAGCATGTGCGATGCAATAACTTGGGCACCACACGCTTTCTCTGCCCCTTCTTCATCTTAGATTTCAGGACTACTTTGTGCTCTCTTCGACATACGCTTGAGAAATGAGGATAGTTACAGCCTATTTTTCTGTATCGTCTAGTAATCTGGAACTTCGTAAAAGGTCTGTAGCCAGCATATCCACTGAAGTTGATACAATGGATATGCTATGTAGATGTTTTTTCAATGTGTTTGCTTTTTAAAGAAAAACAATACATCAGCACAGAACAGATAAATGGAAGGCAAGAAGAAAAAGAAACTGGAACAGAGAGAGGACCTTGCTAATTAGGACATGATGGTCAAGACAATGCTAATGAAGACTACTAATTAGGTCACTGTTAATTATGTACAGCCTGATTCAGACATTGCTAATATGTTTCGGCCATAAGCTCCACTGTTAGCACCATAAGTGCCAGCTGTCCACATTATTCTCTTTCATTCAGTGTTTATACCGATCGAAGTGCATAACAAGTACACCACATAAGAGCCTTCCACTCACTTGTACTTGAACTGGTCTCCGAGGTCGGTGGCAAATTTTGGCGGGATTTCGAAGATTCCCGAGAACGGGAAAGGGTGACCTCCGTACGCGTATTCTGAAAAGCAATATGATGTGAATTGCACCTGATTAGTAAATTATTACACTAGAAAAAAATGACCAGAAAGCCCTCTTCATAAACAACTTCACCTGTGCTTTGCCAGCACAAAGCCGCAGGTCAATTAAAAAGACAACAGATTAAGTCGGCACCAAAAGTAGATCAAATCGTCACTGGTATGAAAAATGCTTAAATACTTTACTATCACCTTCAAACGTTCATTCATATGAACATGCATATGCACACAATTACAGGCTTTTTTCAGAAGCTAGTAATCATATTTTTAGTGCAATATTTAGTTTAGGGTGCCCTTCAGCATGGGGACACATCTTGCAGCTGTCATTGTTCAATTTTTTTAATTACAGACACTTGAATTTGCAACAATACTCATATTTAAGGGACACTTACCTGTTCCGTAAATTTCTACACCCGTGTGGAATACCCCGAGGCCAATAGGAGCCGTGTATTCATTGATCCAGTACTGCATAAGGAAAACCAAAATTGATGCAGGAAAAGAATAACTGAAGAATGTTAAATAGCTTCAACTTAAGCTTCATGATGTATAAAAGAAATACATAGTGCAGGCTCTGTCAATTTCACTCCACACTTCGATGGTAACAGTAAACATGCCCAACTATTACTCCAAACAGAAAAAAAAAAAAACAAAAGCGCGCACACACACAGAAAAACTAAATACGAAACCAGTTTTGTTTCAAATATCAAGTTTGATAAACTTCTGTGCAAGGAATGTCCTTGGAAGAAAATCTTTCAAGCATAAAGCTAGAAAGAAAACCCATATGAAACTGACTTTTACAAGTTTCTCTCGAGCTTCATGCTACAAAACCAAGTGAAAAACAAAACATGTTTGCACATTTCGATGCAGCAGTTGAGCTGGCTACAAATTTCTCAAGTGACCCATGTGTTTGACATAAAACAAGATGCTGGGAAGACAATGGCAAACATTTATACTACACGCTTACTCACTTATTGTTTTTATGCAGGTATGTCGCAGGGTGCTTTTTAAAAAGCTTTAATACGGTATACTCTTGTTAAATTGAACCAGACGAGGCCAGGAAAACGTGTTCCATGTAACAGGAGTTCTGTTAACTGAGAGAGGAAGAGAGTTGAAGAATCCAAGTACAAAATCAATAAAATTATATTAGTGAGAGTTGCTCTGTTCAAGCAGCATATCCATTTAAAAGATCTCTGTTTACTGTATTCTTCCACTTTCATGGCGCTGCATTGATTATTAAAGAGCCAACTTTATAGACAATCAGCGATAAATGTTCAAGGACTTGCATATTTCATTGCAAGCGACAAGAACGCCACCAGTAGTTCCTCGGCAAATCTCACTGTGCTGCATTAAGGGCTGCAGTCTTTGAGCTTGACATTCCTAATCACGATATTACAAGAGAATCACACCAGCAAAAAAGGCAGCTGTGCACTAATGGATAAAGACTACGTTAGGCTGCGTTCGGTCTTCTCCGTCACGGAATACCCCAAGCAAATAAATATGCACAAATCAGTTCACTGCACTTCTTTGTTATGTTATTAACAATAACGAAGATACCACTGAATTCATTACCATGTCATAGACATTGAGAATGACGGGCTCCCGAGCCATGCCTCTCCACTGGAACACCAGACCTGCAGACACGTGAAGAAAGCATGCAGAACAGCCGTAAATGAAAGTGAACAGTTGAAATGTCCCTAAAAACATAAAACCCGAGTGTTGAGCTGCCCGCCCTATATCTTGCTTTTGTAAAACCTTCGTCTGTCAAGACAAATTAGTCAGCAAGGGTGTGCTATTTTGAGGCTGCTGCCGACAATTTACTTGCACAAATAAAGCTTTCTTGAGCTGTACTCACGAGTGCACAATACATCGTGATGTGCCTAGAGTCAGCCATGCTGAAGCCAGACCTCGGTGTGATGAAGGATGCCACAACATAATAATAACTGTTGAGGTTCTACGTCCCAACATAACTATCAAGGACGCCATATTGAAGGACTCCGAGAATTTCGACGACCTGCGGTTCTTTGAAGTGTACCTAAATCTAAGAACACAGGTAGGTCTCTAGCCTTCGCCTCCATTGGGAATAGCTGGGACTCAATTCTGTGGCCTTTAGGTAAGCAGTCGAGCATCACAACCACACCATGATGGGTCGATGCAGCAACATATTTATCACTCCATGTGAACCTAACATCCGCATGCCAATAATTCCATGACATATTACAAGGCACATACAAACTTTTTTTTTGAATAAAAGATTTTCAGCCCGACACTTTAATAGAAAGCCACTTCGCATCTGGCAAAATGTTTAGTACAGCAAAACTTCAGACTTTCAAGAGTAATTAAGAACCTTCTTGGAATTTCTGAAGTCGGGCTTAACAAAACAACGCACTGAAATCATGTCGAGAGCAATCACAACACTCCAAGTTGTGCAAAAAAAAAAATATACAGAATACTTACCATGAGGTATAGAAATGACTAACGCTGAATTGCAAGTCACGCGTGTTATGTGACTGACAGCACAGCGCCACCGTACTGCTCCCTTTAACCGTTCAACAGCCCCAACCTATGTGTTAAAAGAAAAGTTTTAACATCACATTCAGGTGTCCTTTTGATATGCTGCCCTTATGTTGCCAGCTGCAGTTCCTCTCGTGTCAAAAGCACAGCTGCTTTTGACATTTTCTCCATCGTTGCTACAAAAGTGACTTGTCATATCAGACACATGCATAAACTGAAAGGTTCGGGTCTTCGGGGGATCGAAATGTTTGTCTCAAAGAAGAGGTTCCCTGGAAAAGATTAAGATTCACTGCTGCAAATGTTGAGACACTTCAGTTGGCATTTCATATTTCTAATTGTAAAAAAATTAAATTATAGTTTCAAGTGCCTTAATAACAATTATAAGGTGCATCATAGAGGAAACTCTAATTTTGACCACATGGAGTTCTTTATGGTACACAAAATATGCATTTTTACACTTTGCCCTAACTGAAATGTGGCCACCATGGTGAGGCATTGAAGCCACGTCATCACACTTGGAAGTGCATAACTATGGCCAGTAAGCTACCAAAATGCGACTATCACAGAAACACACAAGCGACTATAAAAGAACACGAGAAATGCCTCGTAAAACCATTCTATAGTTAATGATCTGATCTACCTTCTTGAACAATGAACAGTGAAAGAAAGATCAGAATTATGAGCGGTCCTGCTAAATTTTCCCAACCCTACATCTATAACATCTACGCTGTTTTCATCTCATAATCTTCCAGTGCAAATCATGTTTGTCTATTGTAACACAGCTGAGGGCTCAAACAACTACCCTCTCATATGTAGGAACACAAAGAAAGCAAGCGGTAGAAGTAGAATCACCCCCTCCTCCTCTAAAGTTGCAAAAAAATAAAACAAAGCATGCACACTACCTGACAACATCTTGCAAGGCTTGAAATGCCTTCTTTCATTAAAGGGCCAGCGACAACAATCACAAAGCACCTCACATGCAAAGAGCGACTACAAATGGCAGACAATTCTTGTTACTAAAACACTATTGTGATATTTTTACTATTCAAGAGAAGATTTCAAACGCGCGTTCGTCCTGACATGGTTCGCGCTCAAAATGCAAGACAGTGGACGAATTTTAGTGAAACACAACAGCAGAAACTGTCGTCTCTAACTGCGGCGCCACATTACCACGTGTTTGGGCTATTTCAATTCGGGCATGTCACTGCTATTGTTACACTTTCGTTTTGTCAGCCTTTGTCACCAGTGCTGAAACACTGCCTGGTACGTCAGGCTGTTCGATAAGATTACACTATCGATCTACTGCTGCATTTACTACAATACACTATAAATAGGGGCCGACCGTGACAGACGTCATCTGCCTGTATAAGTTCTAACTGCGCTCGACGTTATCGCTGCTACCAAGTATTCACGCTTGTTTATTCGACGTATTTTGCTGATGACCTCCCCCTGCTTGTATGAATGCCGGCCACCTCGCAATGCGATAATAGGACATATAAGATTTTTAGCTATGATGAATAGCAATGAGGAACTGGACCTGGCAGTATGATAACAAAGTTGCCCAACCGGTTTATATCTGCAGCGTTCCACTGAATGCAATGATTCACGGTAATGATTACGGCACATACTTGCATTCCAGGGGAATTTTAAGGGCTCATTTTTCTTCGCTAGACACAACATCAATGAGAATAAACAGGCAATATTGCCAAGAGAAGTATGGAGGGATGCTATTAGAAATAATTGCAATGTGAATGTGAAGAAAGAAAAGCAGACTGAAAAGATGACTTGCCACCGGCAGGATCCGCACCAGTGACCTTTGCATAGTGCGTCCGATGCTCTATCAACTGAGCTACAGTGACGGTCATTCCCCCTTCCACTATGGGGCATTTATGTGCATTTATCATAGGAGCATCTGTCAGCGCCACCAGAAGCCATGACAGATACTGGTGCTGAGTACAATGGGAAGGTTTAAAACAATAGAAACAATGCTTTGATTCAACAGCTTCATTACTATTGATTAGCCATAACTTCCATTCACAAACAAACAGCCACAGTGTGTCACTCTCAATCCACAACTGATGTGGTTTTTTCATCGAAATAAAATTATAACGGCTTTATTTTACTAGTTGCCACTAGTGCAATTATATTGGTGGATTCCACAGTTCCAAAAGAAGCAATGGGAAAACGACATGCTTAATTTGTGTTGCAGGGCCCTTTCACTTGTGACACGAACATACCCGATACATCCACTGATCAGCCTAGTGGGACGACCACTTATCGACAAAAAAACTTCCATAGAAGCACTCCAATGTATGTATTGCTAACACAGTAACATCATTTCTTTCGTATATAATAAGGCTTCATTAGCTCTTGGCCAGTCTCATCCTGGTATGTGAAAGATCTTTTTTAAACATTATGACCAGCTTTATGACATATGCCAGACCAAAATCTCATCAATATCCTTCACAATATTTACATATGAATATAGATAACAACACAGCTTCTTGTTTCACGTGAAACCGTAGATGAAACATTAATCAGTTAACATTTGAGAGGGCTCACTTCCAGAAATATTTCTACATGCCTATGTAGCTTCTGCATTAAATAAACAAACGAAACCTCAGCTATAAAACTAAAAACAAGAAAACGAAGACATTCATGCACAATTTGCGAGGTAGACAGAGCAGCTGCGCAGATATAAGCCCTTTGGCATACATGAAACAAGCTGGTGCTTTCGCACATGTTGTCAATCATAGCTAAACTTGTGTGTGCTTCTAGCAGGGCTTGGCTTCATTTAATTTCAAATGGTTACTGTCCTTCCCCAAGCCTGCATCAGATTGATACACACAACATGCAAATGATACTGGACTCCAACAGAGGTCCTGATTTTTGTTTCATGATACTGAATTGCCGAGTAATTACACCCAATGTATCGTTTTGTGTAGTGCATTATATGGAAATTGCTTATCTCTCAAGACCGGGCCATATAATGCACACTTATTGTTCTTGTAATCAACATTCACTGACCATTGCTTTTGTATCTTATCTGTACAGAGCAGAGTGGTCAACTGCACTACAATAAATCCCAGGACGCTAAGCCATTGCAGGCGCAAAGTTATCCGTAAAGGTACTTTAGGGTAATGCTGCTAGAGTATATAGTGGTCATCAGCTCGATATTAGGATAACAAACGGTCAAATAAAAAAAGAGCCGATATGCTGTTAAATAACTAGAGGTAACTCTACCTGTGCAATCTAAAGTACAGAACGTGTCCCAGCAACGGGGCACACTTGGCCTCGCTTCAAGTCAGACCGGGCGATGGTGTTTGTAAAGCCGCATCTCAGTACACTGGTGCCGGCGGGAGAAGCGCACACAACTGCCAACATCACCAGTGAAACACACTCACGCGATGATTTGCATATAAACAAGAACGAACGCTCCTTCAAACAATGCGTACTCCTAGGCTCGGCAGTCGCCCGACACCAGCTGATTCGAGCTTCCTCATTGGTGCGTTGCATGCGTGACAACCGACGACAGCATCCTTGGGAAGGCGCCGCGGCACAAAACAGCTGTTGACGCGCTGAGGAAGAAAGTGTCAAGATATGTGACTGGCACGAAATTGAGTGTAACAAGCGCGCCTTTCAAAATGCTTACGCATAGTCTCCTTCTCTTCTTGGATGCATTCAAGCAGATCGACTGCAGCGCATCGTGGCTAAAAGAGGGAAAGATCGTGCTTTAAAGGGAAGAGGCTGAATTCAACATTTTTACGTAAGCGCACATCACTTTCGCGGGCTCCATGTATCAAAGATTACGCGTGCAGTTGAGTGGGGCATCCCACACACCGAATGCACCAAACGCAGATGCGAAACAAAAAACACGATGAAATCGATGGTCTCGCAATTCCGACAGTGCCGCAATGTAGCTGCAATTGCGGCCGAGGAAGTTTCGGCTGTCTAGGCTGCAACACCCTTCCGACGGCTCGAACTTCAGGCGTGAAAAAGGATGGATTCTATAAACGTTGCAACGGTAATCAATCGAGCGTTGCGACATTCTTGTGCGATAATGTCGAATGAATGAACGCAACTGCCAACTGCAACTCTAGTGACAGCTCGCATAGGAACAAGCTTCCCGTTAAACTCGGACTACGAGTGTGATGCTACAAAACGAAAGCAGAGCGCTCCGCGATTTTATCGCGAACGTGATCACCGAGAAACAATGAAACAAAAGAGCGGGGTACTCGCATACGATACATCAACCCCGGGAGTCCCAACATTTGACATGAGTCGGCGAGAAAAACACTTATCGAAGTTACCCACCTGGCAGGATTACGATGCGGCGGCGTCTTACTTCGCCGGCGAGTTACTGCCGCCGATTAGTCTCTTGCTTAATCGTGCGCCTTCATGCAATCCACTGCTTTGTGGCGACTCGGGATCAATTTCGATTCGCGAACTCCACTCGCACAGCGCCAGCGGCCATTGCTAAACAATAGCACATCGCTGCTATCGAGGCTAATTTCTTACTGCGAAAACCATGACCTACTACACTCCTGACCTGCCCAGAGAGCACCTCTTCCAGCGCCCACGTTCTAGTTCATACCTTCTGCCGCTAGGGCCGTAACTTAGGAGCACTGTGGCGCTAGTCAGCACCTGTTCGCTGACGTCAGCTTGAGTGTTCGTGGTCATATTTCGGCCAACAGAGCACTCATATTGCGTAATTATTATGCACTAATGAAAAATAATTTTGAAACAAATATTTCAAAAGTCATTCACAAATTCTTTGCAATTAAATGGACGCAACATCACATATGCTGTCCTACACTATGTAAGTCTACGGATTCTCGCATTTGTCCACCAGTGTGCAATAAATTTTTCGTCACACTGAACAGCTTACTTGACCAGTCATCTAAGTGAAAAAATAGTCACATATATGCCGGCTGTTCATCACGGAATGCAGCCGTTCTTACTCTAGCGCCGTCCAAACAGCCGTAAAGTAGCAGACGAACAGGTTATAGGTAGCGCCACCTACGGCGAGCGATTGAACGAGAGCGGGGACACGCGCTCCCATAGGAACCCCGCTATCTGAACAGGTCAGGAGTGTAGTAGGTCATGGCGAAAACCGCACAAGAAAAGATTGCTGCGTTTGAGATTATACAAGCTTTCGAATTTGGCCGCTAGGCGTTACTCGAAGACGCAGGGGTGGTGGGCGCGTCGTGCCGTTTTCTCCTCGGCCCATGGCGAGGTCCTGAGAGCTTTTGTTGCGGGGAGAAGAAGTTTCTTTAGTTGCACCTTATCTCCGTCCCGCGCGGAGATACCTTGCTCGACGCCGAGACGATGGTGAACGACGTGGTTCTGTTTGTGTTTTCCTTATTCGACACGGGAGCCCTGCTCTTCCTTACCGTTTATGTCGTATCCTTTTCTCGAGTTCACCGGCATGTCACTTGCCGGCTTATCTGACAACGGCACCGGCTTGTTTTGTGCCTGTAGGTCGGCAACTTTCGTGGAATGTACTGCACATGTCCCTACGACTCTGATCTACGGTCTAGGGACAATAGAATGTTTCTTCGCGACCACTGCGAGAGAACTGATAGAGATAACCTATGTGTTTTTGGAGCCTGGTGTTATGCATCTCTGTCTGAGTTTTATGGTGCCTTTAGTGCGGCCACGATTCACGTGGCAACGTGACAGAGCTTGTTTATGAGCATCCACCGCGACACTGACATTTTCCTTATCTGCAGTGTACAGGTGATTACGCTGTCTGATTTAGAATGCGACTATCTCAACGCTCAGCAATGTTGTTCCAAGCTGAACGGGGTAAGGGAATGCTGTCATGGAGGCAGCGATAACAAGCTGTGTTTGAACTAGAAAGTAGAAAAAAAGGGTGTTAAAGAGTTTGGCGGATATGCTACGAACCGGTGGGTGCTACATTTCAAAGGAAAACTAAGAGCTACAGAGAACTGCCCACCTTCCTTGAGCATAATATGCTTTTTTTTTTTTACTTTTACTGGAGCTGGCCTGCATACTTTATCATTGCACTGCTTTAGCAGCCTATGTCATTCCAGTATCAAGTCGCTCTAACTTGATAAATGTACGCACATGACTAGATGGGTGTGATCACCCACTTTCAATCGCTAATGCTACTTTTCGAAATGAGTAATGGCCAGTCTGTGTTCTCAATGGCGAGCTCCAAAAACTGGAGAGGTCACATGTTTTTCTGAGCAAAAAAAAAACTTCAGACACAACAGTCCCAACATTTATTGAGGTGCACTCCTTAGATGCCTGATCTCACACAAAATGTGACTGTCAGCACGAGTGATGCGAAAAATTGTAATGTTACAGCATCATGACCTGATAGGTTGCCAACATTAGTGGCTACTACATAACATCATTGCTTGGTCAGAGGGTGGCGAACCTTCGAGGCATTGCTCGTTGGGTGCAAAATGTTTCTGAGAGGGCGGGTGTCAAAGGGATTACATACAATTGATTGAGAAGAAGAAAAGAATACCTTTTGTCTTCTAGTAATCTTAGGCAGATGTGTACGGAGCCATGTGTCTTGGAACACTGGGCCTCCAATGGACCTTTTTTATGGAGAGGAAGATTTCTTTCTTTCTGGGCGGTTGCACGAGATGAGAGTACAGAAGCCCATGTCACAGCCTCGGCAGTGCATTTTTCGGGGGTGTCGTGTGCACTAACAGCAGCCCGGAAAGGACTATGGCGGCGCCCAGAGAGCCTTGAGTGAAAAGGTCTATAGTGTCAGGAAATTTTCCTGCTATCAATATTTGATTGAACTTCAGTTTTATGGCTGCTCTGAGACCGAGGGCTCTTAAAGCAGCTGACATTGCAAGGCTGTCTTGGCGGCTGTGGGTGGCAGAAAGTGTTGGGGATGAGCTATTATCAAGAGTCCTTTGTTGCGATTACAAGTTAATCCCAGACTGCCCACTTTCCATTTGAGAGGCACTGCGATCGATTAATCACTTTGTTCCGGGAAAGCAAGCTCCCCCTTTGGGGATAGTTAAAGGTCCCTTCTTTTACACCTATGCCATTCAAAGAATGCTTCTCTGGTTCAAAGGTGTTACACACGAAGGGCAGTGGCAAGCAAGACTGGGTGTGAGCACTAAATCACATGGGTGAAATTTTGCACATGACGGTAATGTATAAATAATTGTACTGCGTGTACGGCTGTCAATGCAGTGCTCACTTTCATCCACAGCTTCTCGTGCTGAAACGTTGGCGCAGTTTCAGTTACTGGGCGCTGCAGTCCCTTTGCGGTGAATGTAAGACAACAGGATCATATAGCACCTTTTGACATTTCATATTTGCTCGTTAAGTATACTTCAAACCCTACCAAAAACACCGGCAATTGACAGGGTTTCTTAAGTGGTCTTGTCCAGTGCCTATTTCTACCAGAAACAGCTTCACCTGCAATTCTAGCTAAGTGGCTATGGCGTGGTGCTGCTGAACTCAGTCACGGGTTTGATTTCGGCCACGGCAGCCACATTATGATTGCAACAAAACACAAAAATGTTGGAGGTCACCTGATCTTTGCCTGTAAGAGTGGAATGCGATAGTTTAATCAGGTTCCATTCATGTTGCCGTCTCAATCACTAGCTAACCTCAATCGTGCAAAGAGCGCGGAAAGGACCGTCTATGTGCATACTGTTTCGAACTCTGAGAATGCATGCCAGTGCAGTTGCAAAGACATGCTATGTCATCATCATTTTGCGAAGTACTCATTATGCGGCCATGAGACAGTATGTGCATCTACGTTGATGCTGGTGCTGCTGAAGATTAGTAATGGCTAAACACTTCGTAGTAGGTTGGCAGCTTCTGAGAGTGCACTGGCTACACTATTTCCATGATGCAATACCTGGTGTGTGTGTCTCGTTTTCCGTGTCTTGACACAATATTAATAAGATCTAACAGACAATAAGGCCAAGGAAAGTATAGGGGAGGCTATTAGACCAAATTGTAAGGTAAATGTGACGAAAGACAAGCTACAGGTGGAGCTGACTGACACTCCCACGTTTAAATTTACCTATATACCCAATAAAGAGGCTGGGAGGATAGCCATCGTGGTAGCTCAGTGGTAGAGCATCGAACGCGTTATTCGAAGGTCGCAGGTTCAGTTCCTGCCCACGGTAAGTTATTTTTTCGCCCACTTTTCTTTCTTCACATTTACATTACAATTTGGTCTAATAACCTCCCCTATACTTTCCTTGGCTATATTGTCTGTTAGATTTCATTAATATTGTGTCAAAACACGGGAAAACGAGCCCTTAAGTATCCACTTCTTTCTCTTTATATATATATATATATATATATATTTATGGTCTAAGTTCCGCTGCCATTGGAAACATGCTCCAAAGCGTTCTCAAAATTGGCCGGCCCCGCCGCGGTGGTCTAGTGGCTAAGGTACTCGACTGCTGACCCAAAGGTCGCGGGTTCGATTCCCGGCTGCGGCGACTGCATTTCCGATGGAGGCGGAAATGTTGTAGGCCCGTGTACTCGGATTTGGGTGCACGTTAAAGAACCCCAGGTGGTCAAAATTTCCGGAGCCCTCCACTACGGCGTCTCATAATCAAATGGTGGTTTTGGGACGTTAAACCCCACAAATCAATCAAAATTGGCCGATTCGTGGTCTGTGAAAGTGCAATCACACGTAATATCAGACCAGCTATGGTACTTCAACGAGCAGATAAACCTACGCACACATGGGTTGCTTGGCTAGTGCCGTGGCAGGGAAACGAACCCATGCGCTAAATATTGGCAGCGGTATGCCTAACCTACAAACCCAGGCTGATGCGGGTAGCTGGAGCGAGGTAGAAGAGAACAAAGCTAGAATAAGAACAGCTGGCCCAGACAATGGGTGTTGTCTCTTTTCTTGCTGATTACAAGATATGTATATATAGAAACTGCTGCTTTTTTGTCTCAGATAGTTTCATTGTTTTGAAATAATGGAATGAGTATTTCGTGACAACAGTGAAGTGTTATTTTTTGTGTGAGTGTTTTGCATTGCTTTTATTCTTTCATTGTACGTACATTATTGTGCCAGTGATTCTGAATGTTGCGCAGTGGTGAAGAATTTGTATGTGGAAGCATTATTAAAACGTGATGCCTGTATAGGTTTTTTTTTTTCCGCAAAACTGGTTCAAGCGCTGGTGTACCTCTGTGCTAGAACACTTGCTTCCTTTTCAGAAGGCCTGCATTCGATTCCAGTTTGGACCCACAATATTTATTATTTGCGTTCCTCGCTATTTTTCGCTCACTGACAAAGTCGATATTTGTCTCGCAACCAACAACGTTGACTCTGGAATTTCCGCTATGGGGCTTCATTAACGCAATTGGATTAAAACTCACCTATGAAGCATTAAAACACTTACTTACATTAGTTTTAAGTACACACTGAAGAACCCAAGGTGGTTGTAATTAACCTGGAGCCCCTCACTATAGCAGATCGTGGCATCGGCTCTTAGGAGCGCAGAAGCAATCCTTTTTGTTTTAAAGTGGGGCAGTTTTGCCATACTCGGCTGAACCCCGAAGGGTGGCATTCGAAATTCTGTTTTGAATGTGCAGCGTCCTCTAACCTGCACCAATGTTAAGGACAGTCTTCTCACTCAACGCAGTGGGTCCTTCCAGAGGTGATCGCACAGGCTGTTCTGACCGTTCTGCTGTTCTTCGTCAACTTCCACTGGATATTGTTCGGTCTCAATGTCCCCATGGTCGTGTGGCAGGTTTACAAGTGAGTCACCTGACATCTTTTTTTTTTTTCTTTATCTGTTAGCTGGGTGTCCAATGAAGAAGACTGCATATATCATTAACTGCTGCTTTTCCGTCCGAGTTAGTTTTGTTGTTTGAAATATTGACAGTTGAAGGATTTTGTGGCAGCACTGAAGTCTTTGTTTTTTTCGTGTGTTTTGCAAAGCTTGTATCCTTCCATTTCACTTTATTATGTGAGTGATTCTAAGTGTTACACAGTGGTGAAGCATTCGTATGTAGAAGCATTATTAAACGGTGGCCTGTTGAACGGGTTCTGAGTGATAAAGTACGACTTTTTTTTAATGTAGTCAAATGTGTAACCGTCAGCCTGTCTTAATCTCAAATTAAGACAAAAAGCTCTTTAGAGATCCTAATGAAAACTAACAGACAATCATGTGTCTCTCATAATCATACGGAGTCTCTCATAATCATATGGCGGTTTTGGGACGTTAAACCCCACACATCAATCAATAACAATCAAAGCCAAGACCCTCGGTTTTCAAGACTTGAAAATAAAAATACTCTGAAATGCACTACTATCAAACATTATAGGGAAAAAAATTTATATATACACAAGTACATTTGCTTTCATAGAATGGAAAACTAGTTTCTTTCGTTCTGTGATCAGCTTTTTCTGGCTTTAGTGTAACTGCTGAATATGCCTCGATCGTGTGCCCATTCAAACGGCGTCATTTCAAAAGCAAGCTCGGTCTGCGTGGAATTATTAAAGAATCCACTATGCTGCCTACGACCTTTACACATTTTTCTGTTTCTGGCCTGTGGAAACTTTTCTGGTCGACGTGCCGCTGAAGTTCTTCCTCTGCTTGCTCCACTTAGGGGCACAGGTTCCCCACATGAAAGAGAAAGACGCTGTGCAACTTCACATAGCATGCAAAATAACTTTTTTTTTATGTGGGCTCTCATGATGCAAGGGGTCCGTCACCATCATCACTTCACTGGTAACAGATACGGAAAAAGAGTTGACCGTGAAATGAGCCTGTACAAGCTGAAAGCAGAAAGTGCTTCGTCATTGCTTTATGACAGTAATGACACTGTATCTGCTGGTCTAACAGCTGGTTGTTGGCAATGCTGTAACCTTAACTTTGGTTTTGGGCTAAGTTGTAAATTCTAGGAAATGTTTCGGATTCTCTTCAATAAAAGCAGTTTGGATTAGATCCAAGTAAAAAATGGCAGGTATCCTCCAAGAAATGAATAAAATGGATGAATACATCCTCTGTATCATTGACAGCAGAGGAAGTATGGTATTTCCGACAAGCCTTCTATGGTTTGGCTGCTGGCCTAAAGGTTGTGGCTTCGATGTTAGTCGCAAAGGTTGCATTTCGGTAGAGGCGATATGCTAGAGGCCCTTGTACTGTGCGATGTCAGTGCACATTAAAAAAGCACTGACATCAAATTTACTCATGCCAAGATTTTTGCGTCTTCGAGTAGCTATAGACCGCATAGCAGGGATTCGTGACCTGAAATGCAACTGAGGGATGAATAACTATCACTTTTATTGATTTATATCACTGGTATTTAGCACTACTCTAAACGGCCGGCAATCCCACCATTTTTAGTGATGGGAGCACCAGCAGTGGCGCTACCTCGCGGTCACCTCCAGATCACGCCACAGCTGACCACTTCTTCACAGACAAGAGTGATGTCAGGCTCAGCTGCTTTGCAAACATTTCGTCTGCGAGGCGGACCCATTCAGTCATGCCTTGTCACCTGCATTGCTGTCGTCGCCATACAAAGTGTCGACTCGGGTTCAATACGATAGTCTGGAGCTTGAAATCCCCGCGATTCGTGAATTATTTTCACTTTGATAGACCTTTTACAAAATAGTGATTCTAAAATGAACGCTGTTCCAAGCAGCTCTGCAGAGGTGCCCGAGGATGCACGCTTCAGCCATGTTTGCCCGTGTGTCTCAGTTAGCCATATTGGTGTGTTTTGGCGTGCAAAGCATTCAGGTATATGCACAGGGGTCAATGCAATATAGCTATTGCGAATGAGCATCAGCGGAAAAATAGAATATGTGTCCTGCTTGCCAGGTCTTTTTTGCGCCTCCAGATGTCCCCACCTATCCAGCCTCTCGCGGGGTTAACCGCGAGAGGCTGGATAGGTGGGGACATCTTCTTTTGGACATACCACTTTTACGTGGACGCAAAGTCTACAGATGAACTAAAATGCAACGATACCTGCGTGTCACTTGTTAACCATGATATCTGACTATACGCCATTCCACTTTTGATAGCTTGTGGTCGTGTTAATGTGTAACACATGCATGATATGAAAAGACACCCTCATTGCGCTTTTTCCGTGCTTCGAACTAGACGACTGCAACTCATCTACAACTCGCAACGATTCCCAGACATGCTGACCGACAAGCACATGTTTACTCATGCTCCTTCCTTTCATCGCTCTTTTAAAGGTGGTTTTTATCTTGATAATTTCACAAAAGCATTCAAACCAGGGCCACGAAGATCAGACGCGACAAGCAAGTGCGTTTCTGCGCTTCAGCGCCACTATAAGAACACTTGAATTGTACACGTCATCGCTACTAGGGCATCGTCATTCAGGATGGTATTTGTGGAATGTATCACACCGAACACGTAGCACTAGTGTCGATGTTGCAGGGCAGTCTGTTTTCCGTTTTTTCTCCTTAGCTTTTCTATGCTGTTTGACATCGAATTAAAATAACTTCCATGTAACGGATGCCAGTTCAAATTTGGCCAAGAAGACCTATGTATACCAAGCGATCGAATGATGGGCACATCTCAATCTTGAAATTTGATGTCAGTGCTCCTTTAAATAACACCTGATGGTCAAACTTTGCGGAGCCTTCCTCTACAGCATCTCGTAGCCATATCCTGGTTTTGGGCCATGAAGCTCCAGATATAAGCCACGTATGGTATTTGTGCATTCTTTCCTCTGTTTTGTCGCTCTTTCTTGACATCTCTTATGAAATGATTCTTTCTCTTATATTGTTTATTTTGAAAGTATAATGTCTGTCCTTCATCTTTATCTTGTCTCTCTTTTTCACTGGTAACATGGATCTAAAGAGAAAGTGACTAGCCCAACCTATTGTCATTGCCATCGAGTCATGCTGTTCGGTGTTTGTGCCCCGCAGGTACCTCTCGGTACCTGACTGCAACTTCGGAGTGTACGACCCGACGGAGATCCATAACCGGGGCAACCTCAAGCGGCACCTTCGGGACTCCATGATCCGGCTGGCATTTTACCTCATTTTCTTCTTCATTTATCTATACTGGTGAGTGCAAGTGCAGAAATTTCTGCTTCTGTAGTGCCCCTTTTTTTTGCAAGCCCTAAAGAGGCAGTGGTTCCACCTGAACAGCAGTTCGTGTGGAATATTTCATCTTGCATCAACAAGTAGTCAAAGCTTTGAGCTGTTTATAAAGATATGGCTATTAATCACGTAGTTCATAACAGAACCAGAGTGGGACCTCTGTGTTGTTTTCTTGTTCGTGGGTGTTTGAACTAAATCCACTCAGTGAATTCAGTCGATCCTCGCTGAAATTGTTTGTACTGTGCTCTGTATTGTACTGCCTAAAAAGTTTCTTTACATCTCATTCTTCAAGTGGCCAGCGGTTGAGTGCTTTTTGAAGTGAAAGAATACGTAGGGCTATGTCAACTCGGTTGTCAACACACTGTAACAGCACGAATGTTCGCTTAGCTAACCACTGTACTATTAATCACCTATGGTAGTTAGTAGGTTAAACGTCACACTGCTGACTTCATGAACTTTGGTTTGATTCCCAGGCATGGTGGCCGCATTTCGATGGGGATGAAATGCAAGCACTCGCAGTCTTACATTTAGATGAATCCTTAGAACTCCTCTGGTCAAAATGAATTCTGAGTCATTCGTTAGAGCATGCCTCATAATTATGTCTTGATTTTGCCGCATAAGGCATTAGAGATTGTTATGACTAACCAGGTGTTCCTGTCGTGCAGCATGATCATTGCCTTGCTGACGTCCAATCCTGACACAAGGCGGGAGACCTACTAGGAGGTGTGAACCGGCACTCCTCTTCGTTTCAACGTCTCCCACGTGCAAATGGTAAGACTATGTGATTGCATCGAGAGTTCACCAAATGCTAGGGGCTGCCACCATTAAAAACACTTTAATGCAAAATAGAGGTTACCCAATGGTTTTTTCGTCAAGTACAGCAACAAATCAGTGTCATGGAATAAAGCATGCTAAAATCTGGAAGGGACCACTATCTGTCACAGCACATGGTGCATTTTGTTTCCTAAAAGGCCCTAAAACACTTTTTGAGTAACCAGGAAATTAACTCTTTGTAGAAGAGCTTATTGCCTGACGAATCCAATGCCAGCAAAAATTTTAAGAATCCGTCCAGTACGAGCAGAGTTACAAAGATTTGTCACATGCTGCAATCGCATTCTCTAGTCCCAACGAAAGTGCTGGAAGCTAAGTCGGGAGCGATGGGAGGGGCAGACAAACTACGCCACGCGTGCCTTGTGACTTTAGGAACTTTTCTTTTTTTTTTTTCTTCGAATACGCGTTTTTTTCAATGTGATTGTGCACGCATGCCTGGACAAGTCGCGGCCTGCCGCGGCCATTTCTAGTAACAATCGAGTGCGCCATGTTCAAATAAGCCAATGGCTGATAGATGGGCATTCTACGAGTGATTTTTGAGCGTCTTCCATCATTTGTTCGAGAAAACAGAAAGCAATTTTTAGCTGACTTTGATAATTTATTGTCAATTCCAAGCCTCAGTGCTGCGCTATAACATTTGGCTCATGTGTTCTCGGGAGCGTTTACTGCCGATAGGCAGCATTTTCTGACCATGCTCAAAAAGTGTTGCAGGGCCCCTTTAACCACATACACATGCACACGCTGCAGTAGTAATGAGTATGATTGTTGTCATCTGAACACCTTTCTGGCAACCATACAGAGCTGTCGATGGCGGTGTGGCCGTGAGAAACAATGAATTAAAAATTGAGCGAGTTTAGTCCTGGTTTTGGTGCGTCCCCTACGCCTCCTCTCCCACATCCACAAATCTACTGAAATCCAGGTTTTCCAGGCTGACAGGTATGGAAATGGCATTAGAGGGAGATGCGACTCAAAAAAACTCGAGTTTTTTTTTTTTTTTTCAAAAACTATATATTTTTGTTTATACTTTAAGAAATTCAGTTTCTCTTTCACGACAAAAAAACAACAACTAAAGATTGTAATGAAACATGCACTAGGCTGAAGCCTCTTTTAAAGAGCACAAGGTGGCTACCAAAAACTAAAAAGAGCTTATTATCGGGAGTCCCCCGGAAATCGTCACCTGGCTGCTTGTCATTGCATTTTGCATGAGAAGTTCACCAAAGCCACATGCTCAAAATAACAATGATTGTGAGCTCTCATGATAGAGCAAACCATATTAAAAAAATTATCTTTTCCACTTAGGTGAGCTTTCACTTATTCCTTTAAAATGCGTTTTTCTTATGATTCATTTTTGGGCAACTTCTTGAGTTTGTACATCATGTTTTTGGTACTTCCGATAGCCTGACGGGGATGAAATTTTGCCCTTAACATAATCCTTAACATGTGAAGGGTGCAAGTACGTTTTTAAAACCTGATATTGCTTGTATGTTATTAGAAATTTAAAGTAAGCAATTTGTATGGGCTCACTGTTCTAAGAATTCTCACGTTACAATTTTTCTTGTCCATTAAAACGTCTTATTTGCACTTTCTTGTTAGTTATTTGCATTCTACAGTTAATGTGGAGCAATGTGAGGCATCTTATTAAGAGGGCATCTTAGTAAAAATCTTATTAAGAGACAAGCGATGAAAGCCTCAAATGCAACTGACAAATTTGAGCTAGTGGAGCTTTCGAAGTTAATCAATAGGCGTAAAGTTGCCGACATCAGGAGGTATGACATGGAAAGAATTGAGCAGGCTGTAAAAAGCGGCGGAAACCTATAAGTTGCAAAGGCAGACTTGTGTATAGGCAAAAATCGGATGTATGCATTGAGAAACAAGGAAAGCATTGTCATAACCAATATGGATAGGATAGTAGAGATGGCGAAGGAGTTCTACAGGGAGCTGTACAGAAGTCAAAAGAACCAGGATGATATTTGGAGAAACTATAATAGTCCAAGAGAATTCGACATCCTACCAGTAACAACAGGGGAAGTAAGGAAAGTTCTAGAAGGAATGCAAAGAGGCAAAGCCGCTGATGAGGATAAAGTAGCAACGGACTTCCTGAAAGATGGCTGAGAAATTGTGTTAGAAAAATTATCCACCTTATATAAAAAGTGTCTCTTGACAGGAAAAGCGTACCAGAATCTTGGAAGAACGCCAACATAATCTTATTCCATAAGAAAGGAGACGTCCAGGACTTAAGCAAAACAGGCCGATCAGCTTACTCTCCGTTGTCTACAAACTATTTACAAAAAGAATAGCTAATAGAATTAAGACTATATTAGAGTTCAATCAGCCAAAAGACAAAGCAGGATTTCGTACTGGCTACTTCACAATAGACCATATTTATACTATCAATCAAGCAATAGAAAAATGCAGCTGAATACAACCAATCCCTATACGTAGCTTTTATAGATTAGAAAAGGCGTTTGACTCAGTCGAGACATCAGCATTAATGCAGGCACTACGGAATCAGGACATCGAAGAACCCTACATAAACATACTGGAAGAAATATACAGATGATCCACAGCCACCATAGTTCTCCATAAAGGAAAGCGAAAGAATCTTAATAACGAAAGGTGTAAGGCAGGGAGACAAGATCTCACCGCGTGTTTACAGGAGGTATTCAGGAACCTTGATTGGGAAGAGTTAGGGATAAGAGTTAATGGAGAATACCCTAGTAACCTGCAATTGGCTGATGATATTGCCTTGATGAGTAAATCAGGGCACGAATTACAGTTCATGATTACTGAACTGAACACGGAAAGCAGCAAAGTACATCTGAAAATTAATATGCACAAAACTAAAGTAACGTGCAACAATCTTGGCAGAAAACACCTCTTTTTGATACGTGGAGAGGCGCTGGAAGTTAAGAAATATGTCTACTTAGGACAGGTAATAACCGCGAAGCCGAACCACGAGATTGAAGTAACTAGAAGAATAAGAATGGGCTAGAGCACATTTGGCAAGCACTCTCAGATCATGACTGGTAGTTTGCCACTATCCCTCAAGGGGGAGGTATATAACAGCTGCATCTTGCCAGTACTTACCTACGGAGCAGAAACGGGGAGGCTTACAAAGAAGGTTCAGCTTAAATTGAGGACGACACAGCAAGCGATGGAAAAGAAAATGATAGGTATAACCTTAAGAGACAAGAAGAGAGCAGAGTCTGTCAGGGAACAAACCGGGGTTAAGGATGTCATAGTTGAAATCAAGAAAAAAAAAAATGGACATGGGTCGGACACGTAGCACGTAGACAAGATAACCGGTGGCCGTTAAGGGTAAGTGACTGGATTCCAAGAGAAGGCAAACACTTGAAGGGGAGACAGAGAGTTAGGTGGACCGATGAGATTAAAAAGTTTGCGGGTACAATGTGGCAACGAAACGCACAAGACCGGGTCGACTGGCGGATCATGGGAGAGGCCTTTGCCCTGCAGTGGGCGTAGACAGGCTGATGATGATGATGATGAATGTGAGGCATTAATGGCTCAGAACCATACAATCTTGGTGGTAAAAAAAAAGTGTGACTGGAAAGAACTATATTTTTTTCATTGTCAACTTACAAAATGAGAGCTGTGCAACTTACTATAAAACTGATTACAAATTGGAAATCAGCATAAAAGCCTACATATACAGTAAAAATTTTATTGTCCTAGGCTACAGATTAAAAAACATTTTTTTCGGACAGCATCTTTTCTTGATTCAAGCCATATTCGCTGCCATTTCAGTTATCTCGCAGCCTCAAACCAGCTCTCAGTGCTAACCATCATTTTCCGGTTGTAGCAGTTTTTGAAAGTTAGCTTTGCTGTAACGTCAGGTTACTGTGCGCTGAAGCATAATAATTGTGCATTTTGGGCAGTCATCTTAGAGCGCACTGACCATGGTTGAAAGTGGTGAGTTCAACAGCTTTTAAAGCTCTCTACAATTGGAACATGCTGGTAGACAGGTCTTGTTTCTTTTTCTTATGTAATGGTTAGTTGTTATTTTACATCCATTTTTCAAAGCATTCGAAGTACTCAAAAAAGACTACTCAAATGTACCATAAGAATCGGAAGGGACCGCTGTCACAGGACCTGCTGCATTTATTCAAATATCTATTGACTCTTTTTTTTGGCAAATGTCACCTATAATTAGCCATCTTATGATATATTCATGGTCAAAGAAACTCACTCTATTTTTGTGATCAAACTACCACAGTACAAAGCGGATAGAGTTCTACTGAAACACCCGCTGTTCAAGACCTGCTAGCTACATTGCTGCATTACACTTATAGATGTGTAGTTAATTGACACACTATAAAAAAAGGAGAAACAATATTAATAAATCTGGTAAAAAAAAAGTTCATAGATCACCGTGAATGCTGCCACTCTGTGTGCTGGCACACTGATATAGCCCGACTATGAAATGCATTTGCATTTATTAGACAGTGGTCTTGTGGTCAGCTGAAATGTGCACCTGCAGAAAAGACATGCTTCTCGCAACATCAGTGTGTCATGACTTACGCCTTCTTTCTAAGAATCTAAAGAAATTAACATAGGTCAGTTTGACGTCATTCGTGATGTACGCAAACCTCCGTTTGGTGGTTGCTCCAGCAATTTGCCCACCTGCACGGCTGGCCGAATTGCTGCCTGTGACACCTACTTCGAAAACTCAATTCGGAAACTTCAGTGATTATGTTTTTCATCAAAACATATCATGAATGTTGTCACACGGGTCATTACCGTATCATATCATCATCAGCCTGACTACGTCCACTGCTGGACAAAGGCCTCTCCCATGTTTCGCCAGTTAACCCGGTCCTGTGCTTGCTGCTGCCAATTTATACCCGCAAACTTCCTAATCTCATTTGCCCACCTAACCTTCTGTCTCCCCCTAACCCGCTTCCCTTCTCTGGGAATCCAGTTAGTTACCCTTAATGACCAGCGGTTATCCTGTCTACGCGCTACATGCCTGGCCCATGTCCATTTCCTCTTCTTTATTTCAACAATGATATCCTTAACCCCGTTTGTCCCCTAATCCACTCCGCTCTCTTCTTGTCTCTTAAGGTTACACCTACCATTTTTTTTCCATTGCTCGCTGCGTCGTCCTCAATTTAAGCTGAACCCTCTTTGTAAGTCTCCAGGTTTCTGCTCCGTAGCTAAGTACCGGCAAGATACAGCTGTTATATACCTTTCTCTTGAGGGATAGTGGCAATATACCTGTCATAATTTGAGAGTGCTTGCCAAATGTGCTCCACCCCATTCTTATTCTTCTAGTTACTTCAATCTCGTAGTTCGGCTCCGCGGTTATTACCTGCCCTAAGTAGACATAGTCTTTTACAACTTGAAGTGCACTATTACCTATCTCGAAGTGCTGCTCTTTTCCGAGGTTGTTGTACATTACTTTCGTTTTCTGCAGATTCATTTTAAGACCCACCTTTCTGCTCTCCTTGTCTAACTCCGTAATCATGAGTTGCGATTCGTCCCCTGAGGTACTCAGCAATGCAATGTCATCGGCGAAGCGCAGGTTACTAAGGTACTCTCCATTATTTCTTATCCCTAACTATTCCCATTCTAGGCTTCTGAAAACCTCCTGTAAGCACGCGGTAAATAGCATTGGGGAGATTGTGTCCCGCTGCCTTACACCCTTCTTGATTGATATTCTGTTGCTTTCTTTATGAAGCACTATGGTAGCAGTTGATCCCCTGTAGATTTCTTCCAGGATGTTTATATATACTTCATCGACGCCCTGATTCCGCAGTGTCTGCATGACGACTGATATTTCTACTGAATCAAACGCCTTCTTGTAATCTATGAAGGCTACGTATTACCGTATATACTCGCATAATGATCGCACTTTTTTTTTTTTTTTTTGAAAAAGTGGCTCCAACTTCGGGATGCAATCATTATGGGGGGTAAATTTTCTGTGAAAAAATATTCTGAGCACCGGAAATGCAAAAAAGTCACTAATCAGAATTCTTACGGTAGCTATCATGAACATAACCAAAAATAGAAGTAAATTAAGGCTTACCTTTGTAATAAAATACACGCATTATGCAGGAGATACATGCATGGCACACTGTCCTTTTATTTTTTACCTATCTGACCCCCTAACGTTCATTCAGACTCCGAAGCATCAGTGGCGTCGCCGCATGATTCCCTGTCGGAACCGGCAGTGTCTTCATTGTCCCACAGAGGGTCATCTTTCGTTCCGTCTAGCGCGTAGGAAATGGCAGTGACAGTCCATTCCGCCGCATGAAGCGTGTCGTCCAGCCGGAACTGGCGCGGAAGTCCTTTGTGGCTATTCCCAGCCTCTGGGAAACTGCACGCCTGCATCCGTATCATGTCTAATGACACTGCACAACCGCCCTTGCGCATGTCTTTCACGTATTCGAGGACTGCCTTTTCAATGTCAGGGAACTTGCCAGATTTGGGTCCACAGAAAGCCCATCGCGTGCTGTTAGTAGCCATGAGCATTTCGTGCTGTTTTTTTCGATATCGGATCCGGATTTCATCACCGGATGTCTGCCGGCAGCGTGGTTACCATGCTCTAGCACGTAGTCAAGCGCCTTCAGCTTGAACGCGGCAGTAAAGCTCGCGTACCACCCCATGGTGAAACGGCGCTTCAACAGACGATCACAAAGCACACACACATACACACAACAAAAATTGTGGTCTCAGGAAAAAAAAAACATTGCTGCAGGATGAACACAGGTCAACCAACAGGCGGCTGACGGAGCAAAGCACTCCGTGGAGCGAAGCCAACGCATTTTTTTTCTTCTTTGCGTCAGTTATGGAGGTTGTGAGTACGTCACGCGCGTCATAACAGTTTCGTCTAAATAAGGAATGCTTTCATTTAAATCAGTAAATTTACGGCATTAGCGTAGTGATGCCCGCTTTCAGATCACAGAAACAATGATAGGCGCGTTCAGCTAGACTTGGCACATGACATGTCGATGCGGCAAGTTCAGGGTGCGATCATTACGCGGAGGAAAAAAAGTCGAATTTGGACGACAAAATTTAGGGGTGCGATCATTATGTGAGTAAATACAGTACTAAATTATTTTAGCAGAAAGAATAGGCGTATGATGCAGGTGACATGCTGCCCGCGTGTCACTGCTGTGTTGCAGTGAAGCACATTTTTTCCGCAGACGCACATTTTAGTGTGCGACAAAACCGCTTGCTTTTTCTCCTGCTGGGAGAAGCTGTAGAGGTCGCTACGATTTTCTCGCCCGCCTAAACATGCCGAATAGCCTTCAACTTTGCCGCAAAGTCGAGGGTCTTGCGCTTCTTAAAGGGGCACTAAAGTCAAATAATGATTAACGTCAGAGTGAAAGCTCAATGTATGACAACACCTAAAACAATATTATCAACAACAGTGCCCTACTTACCGAGAAATTAAAGTAAATGCACAAGAACACAAGCGCCGCAGTAGGACATTCTCAAAGTAATCCCGATGACATCAGTCCGACCACAAGTAATCACTAGTAATTGATCTAGCTGCACTAAATAAAGAACCTTCCGTGCATCAAGAGACAAAATAAAATGCTGCTTGTTAATTTCTGTTTGATTCATGGAAACAAGAACCGCCGGACGTTACTATGGGGAATTGCGCGAGTTGTTCAAAAATTTAATTTTCGCGTTGTTACACGGGACAGGTGGTGCCATCTAGCGGGGTGCAGTTGAAACAAAGAACGTCGCCAATCTTGAAGCCAATGGCGAGAAATTGATCAATGGTCGTTGTTGCTGCTGTGGCTCCCACTGCTTCAGTCTGCTGCTACTAGCGCAGTAAAGCCGGGCAACGTTGTGCACGGCAACAGTGGCGTGAGTCGGTTCGGTCGGTCCGCTTCTTGAGGAGGGTACTTTGAAGTGCGCTAACCCGATGCGGACCACTAAAACATAATTTTATTTCAAAATAGGCCCTTGTTTGGCACTAAAGTAACACTACAAGGTTTCTGGACTGCCATTTCAACAATCAAGGTCTACTTAATAGTTGACTTTAGTGTCCCTTTAATGCTGGCCATAGCTACACGAGAAGTTTACAATTAAAGGAGTCCACAGCAACATTGCACAGGCGCTGGCACACCACGCACGCAATAGAGAAATGCTGCACATGTGGTGGTACATAACGGAAGCAACAAAGCGCTTGCGAGTCGCAAGGCGATGGCCACCTGCGAGGGCAACAGCAAAAGGTGTGAGCTGTGGTTGGCTGATCAAAACTCTCGAAATAGCAACAAAAAGTTAAAGTAGGGGCGAAAGGTGGAGGACGCCGGCTTGTTTCTTCCTGCTTTCCGAGACGACGGGTACGCTGAGAGACATTGAGAGAGAGAAAGAGAAACGAAAAAAAAAGCCATTCCGCAAGTTAGAGATTGTGGAGTCCAAGCCGTCTCGCCCTTACCTTTTTTTCGAGCGTTTTGGGTTTGGGGGGGAGGCGTGGTGCCACGCGGAGGTCACCGGGCGCTGCAAGCGCCAAAGCGCGCCTTCCAACACGCGCGCGGAGCCGTGGAAATTGCAGGGGAGTGCCAAAAGGCACCTTCCAGCTCGCGCTGCATTCATTATATTTGAAGGCGGGTAAAAGTAGCGTTCGATATACACGTGTGAATTTCTATACTTTTACAAAGGAATTTCAAGGGGATAACTTATGAGTTCGATATACTGGTGTTCGACTGTATATGAGGCTACAAGAAAGACCGACCTTTTTAACAAGCTGTTGTGTGTATACGTTTTCCCTTTTTTTTTTTTCAGGAGCGCCTGTTTTGCGTACCACACCAGAGACGCTCCCAATTGAAGAGCCCGAGCCGACAAAATCTTGCCGCAAACCCACTTGCGGCTCGTGCGCACACGCACGAGGTGTCTGCAAACACCACGCTACGCTCGAGAAACTCGAGAGAACTGGTCATTTCAAGTGTCGACAATACTCACTAGTTTCCTTTTCGTTCCAAATTTCAGCATTGCATTTTTTCGCTCTCGTCATTTCGCTAAGTTTGTTCCTCTCCTCATCTTGAACCATGGCCTTCCTTGTGCCATCGAAAACATGGTGGCACTTGTGGGTTCACTGTAGAAGTTTTTAAGCATCGGTCATGGAGCTTGAAAGTTTAGTCTGATGGGTTCACCTCCTTTCAGATTCCTGGATTGAATGCATTTTTAATAGCAAAGCTTTTCTTAGTTGAGCGTTCGCCGTCTTTTGGCGTAACGAGGGCACGTCGTGCTTGGCAACATTGCTTGCACTCTAGCGCAGCTGTGATAGGAGTATGTACAAGTTTTGGCGAGTGTGCTTGTGAAGTGGACCATGGCTGCAATAGAATGCAACCGTAGTTCGCCGGCGTGGCCGTCAACCAACATGTCGTTGCCCTGTTACTTAACACACAAAGTGTGATATCAAAAGAAATGATACAACACATAGACATGTAGAAAAAGATTGGCAAAGCTTAAACATATAAAGACTTGTAAAAAAAGAAAAATAGAAAGGCAGTGGCCCGACGAAGGGGCCATCGGCTGTGCTGTTTCGACGGCTTTCACGTAGTGGAGCCTGCTGCATTTTGTTTTCATGCATGTGTCGAGAGTTTCACTATTTTTGGTAGTATGCTAGTTTTATTTTATTTATGAATAATGCGACCCTCAACTGAGGTGACGTAACACTATCGCACAGGGAAGACTACAATATAGCTGAGAGAAGGCGCGTCGTCGATGTGATTGTGCTACACCTTCGTTTATCTTAGCTGTCATTTCAATGGTCCTGCGACAAAGTTCGGTATAAAAGGGCCGCTGTAGTTACTAAACGTGTTTCGTTATGATCGGGGCACTGTTTGTAAAAAGTAAAAGTGCTTTTGGCGATAGATTTTGACTCAAGTACGAAACTCTGTTTCTCAGCTGTACACAAAAAATTTATAACATGTACTTTGTAACCAAGTTTGTTTGTGGCTAGCACTTCTTTGAAATTTTGGTGTAGATCTTCTCAGGCTACATGCACACCACTTTATTGCCAAAGGTGTATCAGCTATCAAAGCCGAATGTAGATTGGATGATATTGTGCTGTATGAGGTCTCAGTAGCCTGGTTGTTTATCTTCTGGCAAAGCTTCGTTTCGCCTTGTAAGCACCAGCTTGTGCTTTCAGTGATATTTTTGTTGATGGCATTGTCAGCGACGTGGTTTACCTTCTAGTAAGCACTCTTTCGCTTGTACTGGCTCAGTTTCTTATGACTATCCCATAAAAGGTTTCGTCTTTTCGTTTTTCCCCATGTTCTACATTGTTGCTTGTACGGTGCGTCTCCGAGGGTTAAATCATTTCAATGGCTTTGACTAGTTCATAACACGGCTATTCTCTTCATTCTAATTGCTTACAGTTAAAGGAGCACTAACATTAAATTTACTGATGTAAAGATTTTTGCGTCAATGAATAGCTATCGACACTCTAGTAGCGATTCGTGTCCGCAACTGCGGGACACATAACTATTACTTTTATTGATTCATATCACTGGTACCTAGCACGATTCAAAACCGCCGGCAATCCCGCTATTTTTAGAGCTGGATGTGCTACCACTGGCGCCACCTCACGGTCACCTCCACACCACGCTACAGCTTACCACTTCACAGAAAAGAGGGACGTCAGGCCATGCTGCTTCGCAAACGTTGCGTCTGCTAGGCGCACACATTCAGTCATGCCTTGTCACATGCATTGCCGTCGTCGCCGTAAAAAGTGCCAATTAGTGTTGAATACGACAGTCTGGAGCTTGGAACCTCAGTGATTTGCGACATTGCCAATCATTTTTGCTTCGCTCGACCTTTTGTAGAAGAGCGATTCCGAAATGGACGCCATTTCGAGCAGCAATGATGACGTGCCTGATGATGCATGCTTCGGCTGAGTTCGCTCGTGCGTCTAAATTAGCTATATTAGTGTGTGTGGCGTGCACAGCATTCAGCTATACGCAAGGGGGTCAATGGAATAACGGTATAGGGAAGCGCACCAGAGGAGAAATAAGAAGCAAGAAGCTGCCAGGTTCTTGCTTGCACCTCCAGATGGCCCTACCTATCTGGCCTCTCACGGCAGCGGCAGTAACTTGTTATTACGCAGACGCAAGGAAGTCTACGGATGAAGTAAAATTAACTATTAACGATACCTGTGTGTTAATTGTTAGCGATGATATGTCTGTATGCTGCTCCACTTTGATAGTTTGTGGTAGTGTTGCCGTGTAACATGCGCGTAGTGAAAAGACACCCTCACTGTGGTTTTTTCGCTCTTCGAACTAGACGACTGCAACACACAACGGTTCTCCGCCACCCTGCCTGATGAGCACACATTTAATAATGCTCTTTTCTTTGGCCGATCTTTTATGGGCGGTTTGCATCTTGGTAATTTCACGAAATCATTCAAAGCGGTTCAACGAAGATCACACATGACGAGTAAGTGCGTTTCCAGGCTTTGGAGCCAAGATGAAACACTCGGATCGTAGACACTATCGCTACTAGTGCATCGTCGCTCAGGATGGTATGCGGGGAATGTAACACGCTGAACACATAGTACTAGTGTCGATGTCACAGGGGCATCTCATTTTTCATTAAGCTCTTGTACGCTGTTTGCTGTCAAAATAGAATAACATTCAATAGAATAACTTTAATAGCAATCGAATTAAGAGCACATCTAGATTTTGAAATTTTATGTCAGTGCTCCTTTAATAATTCTTTAAGCATTTGCAATGTCACGATAAACTAGTTTCAATGAGCTCGTCGCACGTTCATGCTAAGCTAGTAAAGGTGTGAAATGCAAGGTTTTCGCTTTTCTTGGCAGGCATTCTGTATTGATTATAAGTGCATCGTAGCTCTGTCCCAAGCGTGTGGAAATTCAACGTTGCGTAAGCTTGTGTTTTACACCTGAAACGATGTAAACATGAGAATGTGAAGTGTTTACACGTTCTTTGGGTAGGTGATTGAGTTATGACTGAAAGCAGCTATGAACGTCAACAATTCCTTCCTTGAGTAGCTGTCTGTGGGTGTCGCATGTGAACATGTGCTGTTTGAAAGGTTTTGCAAAAATGAATGAACTGTCACTGAACGTGGAATTTGTCCAGAAATTTTGTCAGGGCTTGTGCTATGAGTGGTGTTTTTTTTTTTTTTACCTGGAAGTGTCCATAACAAATGTGTGTCTTTTAGTGTTTTGGCGAGAGCTATTTTGTAGCAGTACGTTCAAATAAAAGAAAAGTTGTAGCGGTAACTGATAGCGCATACCAATCCTGCTCAGCGGGAGTCTGCATTGCCGTCTTGGAGTGTTAAACTGGCTGTAGTTTTTGGTACTTGCTAGTGCTAATACTTTTTAAGCACGGTTATATACGCAGCACTTCTTGCACCCAAGAGCACCTTTACAACTATGTGCTGTACGTTTTTCCGAATATTGTGTCGCTGTAGAAGTATGTTTCAAACTGTTTTGAGGAGAGGCAAGAACATTTTTCATTTCATTTCGCCGACACCATGTTTAGGTGCCGTGGTAATTGGCCGTTACATACAGAATAAATTCCTATTGGATTTTTGCGCAGAATCCAGACTCGAATTGCAGATTTTATTTCGTGAGCAGCGGCTCTGTTCATTCTTTCCCATTGAAGTACAGTTGATCTCAAAACGATAAGCACCATGTGAGTGTGAGCCGAAATCGCCATCTATGCTGCCCAAGTGGCTAGACGTCTTCTGTCGAGAGCACAGCTGTGGGTGCACATTCGCCCGAGCAATGCTCTGGGCAGCAGACGGCTCGCCACAAGACCGTGCAGATGCAAGTTCGGTGTGCACTGACATGGTCCGCGTCATTTGATGGCCAACTGTACCTGTTTTTCACTGGACGACGCCACAGGCGCTGTGTAAAGCCGATTTTAAACACGATTTCAAACTATGTAAACTGCTTAATGTTATGTCCAATGAAAACCCAAATGCAAAGGCAGCCAGTACTTTAGCAAGAGCCATTGAAATCCACACTTTAATACTTGGATATGACTTTGAAGTAACGTAAAGTACAATGTAGTGAGCAAATATATTTGTGCAGAAGTGGTCAGACACAACTACCCTTCTAAACTTTTCCTTGTTAAATGTGTGCTCCATTGAACTGCAAGTTTTGTACGTCCTGTAAGTAGGTAGCTTGCGTGTTTAACGAAGTGGTGGTTGTACTGTCCACTCGCGTAACACTTCCATGCTAGTCTTGGCATCAAAGTTCTGCCGTATTTCTTTGTCGTTTGAATTAAGCTTGCAGTCGATATTTCCTGAACTTCTGGTTGTGCTTCTACTTCAGCAGTCGTATTGCCCACAATGATGGTTGCGGGCAGTGAGAGTGTGGCTTGCGAGCTTGCGTTGATTTGAGTTGGCTTAGTCTTTCAATTGACATTGGAGCTTCCGAATTTCCGGGTCACTATTAAAACTTGATGATGTCAAGTTTTGAGGTTGTCATCGTTCTGAACTGCAATGGTTCATTAGTCAGTTTAGACGGGTGTCTGTAGCTGTTCCCATTTGTCTTTCCTGTGGCCATGTTTGTGCATGAGAGCTTGCTATGCAGCCTGCCTTTTCTTCTTTTTCTCCTAATTACTGTTGTCTTTTTACTACTTACCAATTATTTTTTTGAGACTATGTAACTGTGAAGCTAGCTTTATCTGTAAAGATGTAGCGGTGTTTGGCTGGTGCTTGATGCTTTCTTTTTCAAGGGTGACACACAAAAGCACGCTCCTTTGCACTGTCCTGAAGCTTACATGTGACAAAGTAGATGGTTCTTTTAACTAGGGCATGGCATTACGTGTATTATTTCTAAGGTCAACTGGCTTGTTGTTTCTTAGCACTTCATTACCTTTTGTTCTGTTCTTATGTTACCATCAGTGATGCGGAGGAAGTGGCATGCAAGTGTCTGCGGCAGTTTTTTGTTTCTGCTGCCTCTGAAAGAAGTATTTATTCTTTGTTACACCAGTGTTATTGTTTAGACTCATTATATGATATACTGACCTCCCAACCTGCGTGGGACTTGTGTGTCTGTGGCTACGTAGGCACGGCTGTGTTGCCAAGTAGCGGCATACGAGTGGCCATATTAGTTGCATCTCACCTTGAAAGCTATGTAGGTGTTTGTCTAAGTGCAGTGCATTGGCCGCTTAGGGCTGGTATGTGCTGGTACCACAGAGTTCTTTCAATCGTACTGGTTGTGAAATTGCGTTTGAAACCATGACGTGCCAATGGCCGATTCTTTATGGGGGCCTGCAAATTGGCACGCCATCTGGTAGCAGCAATACGAAATAATAGGTTGTTGCGGCACCGCCCCTGCGTGTGCTTCTCTCAAGTTTTTCAACGCAGTATGCAGCGCAGGCGTCGGTGCAAGCATTTATTAGTTTCAGCAGACTCCCACGATTTCGATTCACGGGGCCTATAAAGAGTTTTGCAACTCGTACGACTGAATAACTCTGCCGGTACCGGACATCTGTTGGCATGAGCACCTTTTGCTGTACCAGTACCAACCTGCCAGCTTCGCATTTGTGGCTCGAGCTTTGGTGGCATCTTGCAAATATCATAGTTGTGCTATTTGTGCGCTGATGTGCGGAAACATTCAATTGATAATGGAAGCCTGTGCAAGAACATGTGTAGCTGAGCACAGAGTTGAAAAAATGCAAGAACTACGACGATGTAGTGTGGCCCAAGACAGGCATAGTTGTTCACGAATGTGTGTGTATTACACAAAGGTAGTTAAGCAGATTTGTCAAAGTCTCTCTCTCCCCATATCTATGATGCATATGGTCACACCTCAAGCCTAAGCTATGATAAAACTTAAACTGAAATTCTTGTCATCCTTCTTTATGACATATGACCAGAGCTACTTTGCATCAATGGAAACATATTGTCGAAAATACATCTTCCACCTTGCGCTTGCTATCACACCCAAAACACTCATTTCATAGTTGAACAGCATTGCTTTTTCAGATTGAAGAGGCACCTATGTCAGTGGCTAACAACTTTTTAGCAGCTAAAGCCATTGATGTCAAAGTGTTCATATAAGTAAGATTCCTTCTACGCTTCAGTGGCATCTCCGGGTTCGGTAACAGCCAGTTCTGAGCTTGGTCAATGCGGAGCTGGGCGCGGGTTCTTGCTGGCGATGAATGAATGGCGAGTGGAAACCTAAACACGAGACTTTGTGAAGAAATGGACGTGGCGGGCACTGTCGATACCAAATGTACCTTGACAGCTGCCTGTACTAATTGCAACTTTGGCAGAAAGCATGCTTAACCCATGGCCATGTTATTTGAAAAAAGCAGTTGACCTGATTGATGGCTGCTATGGCTCAAGTATTGCAGAAGCGGTTAGTTGTCGCTGTGATTTCGTGCATGTTTTAAATGTTCTCTGTACTGTTTAGTGTAAAAAACTATGCATGTCTTCAGGTTGTAGCCTTCCATTGTCTCTTGTTTGTACATCTGTATGTTGTGACCTCTTGTCCTTCACATATGTTTCCCTGCATTGTTTATGCGATGATGGTTTTGTAGGGCTGCTCTTCACAGTGAATGTGTTTCACTGAAAATAAAACTTGTTTCCTTTTTTTTTATTGTCTGCGGTATTTTTTAAAGATGATAGTCTTTCTTGGGGACCTTAGACGCAAAAATTTTGGTCTGTTTGTCCACTCTTAAATGCATCGGGTACTTTAAACAGCCGACCCCATCCGCAGCGCCCACCAATGTTGCTCAAGATTGAGCGTTCGTGCTTGTGCAATTGTCAATTAAAAAGCAATTACTGCGCATGTCTGGGGCACCATAGCTACATGTAAATATTCCGCATGTGCGTCTTTTACTAGAAAAGGCGTACATAAGTAATTTTAAGGACCGTAGCGCTTATCACGCGCTGACCATGCAACGCTTGCACGGAAAGGCGAGTGTTTCCAACGCTTTGCTAAGACGAGACGATGGTGGCACCTACCCGTCGCCTTGCGTTATCATCTCTGAGATGGGCGCGCACACCAGTCTCAGAGCCTCGCGCTTTGTTTTCTAAGAAAACTGCCAGATGGCGCTCATGTCTCACGTGTGACGTGACAATGCGCTCGTTCGCCTTCGCGGCACGCTCGAAGTACTCTAACGCAGCGCCTCCAGAATACCATACACCGATTTTCTTGTGCAGAACATCAAATAAATGTCTTGATCACTCTCTCTACACCCAAGACTATTGTCTTTCGATGACTTTTGCAGATTAACATGCAAATACGGGCCAGTTTTTTTTTTTTAGACGCACTGAAATTTTGTGCACTTTGCTGTGGCACTGCGCAAACCTTTTAAATAGTGTTCACCCTGTTAAGGCAATTCAAACTAAATATCACAGCCCATGGGTCCAAGGTGTTGGAATGAAATGTGTTTCATTCCATTTCAGTTCCATTCCACTGCAAAAATTGCCGTTCCATTTCTGTTCCAGAACAACAACAAAAACACACACACACACACACACTGTTCTGTAATGATTCGTAACGGTTTTGTTTGTATGCAAATGTAATTTTGAGTATGAGATTAGAGGTATAGTAACTTGATTGATTGATATAGAGGAACGCAAATAAATGTACCATGGATTCGTACCAACTAGTGCAAACCAGTGTTCTATGTTATAGCATTCAATTTTCTCGTAAGTGAACTATAAAGTTTCTGAACAGTCTCTGTGCTTTGTGTCAAGGGTATGATCTTCGAAGAATACAGTCATAGAGTGTGCTCTCAGATATGCAATACCGCTGTTCTGATGACCTTCAGTCCTAAGAATGCCCTCTCCGTGCTGGCCTGCGTGACAGGCACACGAAAGTCTACATGCATTATTATAAACAGCGCTGGTTGCCATTCTTTGAATTCTTCACGAAGTTTCAACACATCTTCACTTAAGGTTTTGTGTCTGAGATACGCACTAGTACTGTACCCTGAGGGCAGCGCGAGCATGACTGCTCGCATTGTCCAAGTTTGGTTGTTCCAAACTGCATTAATTTCCATTAATCAAAGAACGATAATTATTTTGGTTTCACTCTGGAATGAAAAGGAGATAACATCTAGGTTAATTTTCGTTCAGGTCTAAAAAATTTTTTTTTCCCTTTTGTTCTGACCCACTGCGTGGATCTCTTGCTGAAGATTGTGTTTGCAAATTATGAAATGAATAGGTGCTAAAATGACAAAAAAAAAAAAAAAAATGTGCCCCTTCACTTTCGAGCGAGCCGGACTTTAACGGAAAGCAAAAGCCATACATCTACATGGTGTATTAACAGGCAGTACATGCAATATTGTTGACCATGTTCCGATGTAGAGGGCCCAATGCTGCCATTGGACAGCAAAGCGGGCCACATAAAGAAAGATAAAAAAAAAGGGGGGCGAGTTTAGTAATCTGGACATGATGCACGCAATAATGAAGGAAAGGTAAACCATATATAAACATTAAACAAGCTATCAGGACATTGATGCACTCTAGCACAGCATATACTCCCGAGAAAGAGCAAGGGTGCGTTGCACCCACGCACTGTGATGTGCACAGGTGATGCGATTCTCCAGTTCTAGCACGAAAGAACGCCGTGAATGAGTATCTAGCAGAGATAAGCCAGTTTTGTTGGGCAGTTAAAAAAAAAAAGACAGCTCTCTAGTTACATGTATGAAAGGAAAAAAAAAAACCTACAAAACAATTTAGACGAAAAAGGTGCCTTTTCTTTATGCAATAGAAACGCTCATAATTTTCACCCTGAATTTTGGGAACAAGACGTGCTCATAGTACAAGTAGATTCGGTACATCAGGCAAGTTTTGTTCAATTCCACTATATTCAGGTTTGCCAGTAAGTACCGCTTGGGTACAGGCAATTGAATCCACGTGGAACCCAAGGAAATTGTTTTAAGTTCCCGGGAATGAAGAACGTGCATAGTTTTTGTAATTGTGGGCGGAGCTTCTCTTCAATTATTCGTTTGTGACAGAACACTAGCATTTCTTGGAAACAAGTCACCCTGTGCAAATCACTCGTGACAGTTGATGGTTTGGAATGGAATCGGATGTACAGCCTTGAAATTGTCAGATGCTAAGAGATGGTTATATATATTTTTAATGGTGTATTCTTTACCAAATCTTGGCAACTCAGAGTCAGGATATATCCTTTTCGAAAGTTTGCAAAGCGGTAGCAGACATCTCTTGTACATTCATTTATAAATACTCATACAAAAGAAAGGAATGAATTTGTTTCAGATAAATGGGCTGTAAAACAGCTGCAACATTCTACTGGCTGATGCACTGCAGTAAGAGAAATGAGACAGATAAAAATCTGGCAAAAGTATTACCAGTGATTTTCATTTTGTGCGTATTTGTACAGAAGGGTCCATACTTAAGAAAAGCTCTTTGCGCGTATTTAAAATGTGCACCGACAAGCAACCACTTCACTAGTGACTTGTCTCACTTTGTCAAAGGGCGACCTCTAGTTCGTGAGCAAGGACTCGACCAATGTCATTGTGAGCAGGCAAGTCTTTGAGACTGCCTGCTCACACTTTTGAAGACGACCTTGCGCTGCCCACGGTCCGAAGCGGCATCGTAGTCAAGTCCAGACTCAGGCGTTGTCGAAAGCTTTCAACCGTTCCAGGATGTTTTGTACGTTGGTCTCCGACACGTTCCCATTACTGACCATGTGCTGAAGGACGAGGTGCAGCTTGAAAAACTCGGCAACGATCTGGTGCCGTCTACAGTCAAGGCACCCTACGGAAAGCGTGGGCGATTCCGTCATTGAAACAAGTCGAAGTGCTACAATACCTCCGATTGGGAGAGCCTGTTAATCTTGAATGTTCATAAAATCCACAAAAGACAAAAGGAAGATACAACACAGTGCTGGTCATGCTGCGCATCTTCTTTTCGTTTTCGCTTTTAGAAAACCTTATGAACAGCATTAAAAATGGTAACAGTGATCAGTTATGTATGTGGAGTACCCGTACTACTTTTCCAAGAAAGTAACACTTTCAAGTCAGTGGGAAATTCTCAAACGACTTCATTTATTCGTCACATATAATGCATCTATTGGAGCTAACCTAGTGTAGTCTGAACCAAACAAGCCTACTTGGCGTTAAGTGTGACTGTGTTCGTTATAGTCACAGATTATGCAGGACATTTAGGAAAGATATGTAATACTTGAGGTTTGCAAGCTCCTTATTTTTAGGGATCCTACAAATAATTTTTCAGCCATGTTGACACTTAAAATGTCCTGAACCACCTCCGATATTTTTGAACATGTCAAATAAACGCTTGCACTGAGTTCAAAATGCCGTCAGAGTCAACAATGCCAAACATGGCAGTCCTATAAGCCACCCGTGCCCCACGAGTTCCAAGAAACAGTCCCTTAATATGAGTGTACAAGCGTGGGCTTGTTGGTTTTGGTTTACGATGACGAATTTCACAGCGTGCCGACATAGGAAAAGCATGGGACAGAGAAGCGCTCTTATCCACTCTGTCCCATGCTTTTCTTACGTTAGCACGCTGTGGAATTCGTCATCACAAAAAGAATCCCTCCTCTCCGCGAGGCCTTTCGGTAATCCTCAGCGTTTCCTCCGATGTCACCATTGCATTCACGTCGAAACATGTCATCCACAAAACGAACCCATTTGTCTGTTCACTTGTATGCATAATCGTCACTCTCGCCTTCTCAACCCATGGGGAGGAAGACAGGCCAGAAAAATAGACAAGCCTACGAACAAAGCATAGCGAAGGAAAAAGCGAAACCCGGCGAGGACCTTCTTTAGATAATAAAATGCGTGTAGCTCTGTCATTTCGGCACTGTTTCGAGAAATTCTCACAGCTTTGTCTTTGCTGCATACTCAACTTAACTGCAACACACCCAACCTCAATAACCATCCAAAAGCGCACAAAAGCAAGCATCAAATAAAAGTAAATGACACCTCTCACAATTGTTATACTAGCGCGCATTGTAAACAAGCTGCTGAATGCTGACAGGTCTCGAGATTTTTTTTTTGATGTAAGGATACCTTCTTTTCAGTCTGAAATGGAAGAAAAAGAAGTAATTAGAAGGGCTTAAGAATAACCAATGCGTTCTGCACTGCTTACCACTCCCGAGAAGTAGGCATCTAGGACTTGTATGAAGGCACGTACGAACTCGTACACGGCAAGGTTATTCTGCAAAGAACAAGGTCAACATATTTTTGTTATGCCATCTGTCTATTGAAGACCACTGAGATAAATGAAGTCGAACATCTTGTTAAATGCATCCACACTTATGTATTTAGCATGAGAAGATAACGAACACCGATGCCACACGATGGCTAGTTTCTCTCAGCTCTTATCTTCAGTCTTTTTGTTTCTGCAGGTTGATGGGTAGTATCTGTTTTTATTATAAATATTTGCCCCTTGTAGCTCTTTTCTAACTTCTTGCTCTTTCAAGTAATATACGCATGGATTGAAGCACGTATTCAGGCTTGCTTCTTGAACACGATGGTTGCAGTACAGTAACTGTGTTTGTCTGTTATTCCGTGTTGTCCATGTTTCTTACAGCCCATCAACGCATTTCTATTTTGCTTTTCTTTAAAGTAATGATGAGCTCTTATGCTGCCAAGGTTTATCACTGCATCCACATATCCGGGATTGCATCCTACTGTGTGTACTCTATGCTTTGTGTGTGCACATACACATGCACACATGCATTCCTTTTTTTTTTTGCCCGATTTATATTTAGGATAGATCTCCAAGATTAAAGACAGGTACGAAGGTTACGGACTCAACATTGCTAAAGCTAACTTAAATACTTGGCTCTACTATGTATTTAAGATTTTAATTTTACGTGGTAAGCAAAAATTTTAGAACAAGAAAATCAATGACACAGATGGAGGAATGAGAACTTCAAAATATAGCTGTTTAATGATGGCAAACCAGATTTGAAGAAGTAATAAATACTGAGGTTTTGCATGCCAAAACCACAATATCGTGATGAAGCATGGCATACTGGTGGCTACAGATTAATTTTGCCTACATAGCGTTCTTTGTTGCACACCTAAATCTCAATACACAAGTAATGTTGCGTATTTGTTACAGCTGCTGAGTTGTCATGGTTGGCAACGGAACCGTTAGAGGCAACCACCCCCTTTGAGGAACAGTTCGATGAACTCTGTGAGCAACTCTTGAAAACAGGTTCTTATCTTTCCCACGCCCTACACCAACACTGCAGCTCTTGCTTACATGCACTGCTGTCGATAATCTTATCTCCGCTATCAGCAGCAATCAGGGGCCTGATGCAGGCTCCATTGTTGTGGAGCAAGGGCAGAGGTGTGCTCTTACCACAAGTGACGCGGCAGGCAGACTTACAGAGGCACTGCTGACGCCAGCAGAGATAAGGTTGGAAAATAAGCCTGCTCTAGCTGATAGCAAATAAAAAAAACAGCTGTTGGGTGAAGATAAGATAAGAAATGATAGGTGACTCCAAAAATTATGACATTCAAGCAGTCAAATTTATCATTGCAGAGCAAGCCCAGTTTTCGTCTTTCACAGTGAAATATACAAAATATGTTGCACATGCCTGGTTTGTTCAAGTGAAGAAATGCTGGTAAAGATCTCGTCATTGCTTTTGTGCGACAATGTGTCACTTTTTATTCAAACGGAAAATCGTGCAACAAGTTCTTGTACCAATTTTTCATTCGGGGCAACAAAACAAAATCTAGACTATGTGTGAGGGACTGGTGTTTGACAAATATTGAATATGTCAAAAATAAAAGAACAGGAAGAACTGTAACATTATGTAAAAGTTTTTGTTGACGAGACTAAGCATGTTTTTAACACTTGCACATTGCATTCTGCCACGAAATGCTTCTTTAGGATAATTTAAATACGTACATTTTTCTTCCGAATTCGAATAACAAGGAAGCAATTAGGCATGTTTGAGGGCCTAAGTGTATTTAAACACTATAAGGTTGTCGGTGACAAAAGCAACTTTTTACTCTTTTGAGACTCATTTAGAGCAGGAAAAGTACCACTTTGGAGCAGCTATTGGTGTTTTAGGAGCAGATGGCAAAATATGCCATACAACTCCTACTATATTCAGAGTGTCACATAAGTACAAATATCCATTATGAAAGATGTTCCAAAATCTAAAATCAACATAAATTGCAAGACACAAACGATTAGGTTACTTACCAAATGCTCGAGATATGAGCTATATATTTAAATACTACAATCTCTGTTATTTTTACATATCACTGAAGTAGCCTGCATGTAAAATTGAAAATATCTAAATATTCTGAAAGCTTGATATGCCAGTTCTTGCTGCATAAATAAGAGCCAACAGTGTTACATATTAACATGCTAAAATCACAGCGTACAAATTTTTTTCAGTTTCATTAGAGTTTACAAGTTGGTCACACACTCAAAATTGCTTGTCTTCAATTTCTCAGCGCCACTTAGGAGCAGATTCGAAGTAAATTTTAGCAAGAACTACGATTTGGAGCAGCATGCCTCTTTTGGAGCAGTTTGGAGCAGCACTTACGTCACTGGGTTGTCTATTTATGAAACCGCGATGCTCTCTGCATGAGAGGAACGGCTGAATTGCCGATTCACGGCAACATTCACCCAAAGCCTGATACAACGAACAAACTAGATGTAGTGCTCCTTTGCAGTAATCTTGACCTCTGTTACAAGAGCATGTTAAGAACGTAAACCGTTGAAATGGTTCCAACATGATGTGGTGCAAACAGTTTATGTTACAAACAGCTGAAAAGTGGACGTGCCAATCATGGTGAAATCAGCAGTGAAACTGTAGCACAGTTCGCAATGTGCTGCTCAGCTGCCTTTAATAGCATGCACAAACAATGTGGCCCATCACCAAAATCAATCAAAGACGAATTCGCTGGTTACCTCATCGTCATCTGTACCAATGATCAGTATAAGCTGTCCCGTCCGGCGGTACACGATGTTGAAGCCGTCGTGCAGAAAAAATGAGCACTGGAGAATCAAAGAAGAGCTGCGCTATGACTGACGAGTTTTGCAAAATCACACTTACTCATTCCACACTTCGTCTGTTTTCAACGCTTCTCATATGTGCCCTGTTCTAGTGGCCGCCTGCTAAAGTCGGCATCCCAGTGAAACTGTCACCAACAATCTGGCGCATGTAACACAATGTCTCACTAAGATTCAAAAATGTTAAGCCTCAGTAGATGATATGTTAGGTGGTTATCACCGTTACCGTAGTTCCTTAACTAGTACCTGTTCATAATGATATGTAGCACGTACGTTACATGCACATTGGTCTTGAAGTGAATCTGCTGTGCATTCTTCACATAAAATGTGTTCTATGCCATGTATGTGTTTTGCACAGAATGTTCTGGCGTGGTAAGTACAGTAAAAGCAGTCACACTCGAGTCTGTGCACATGTTTTGTAATAGTATTAGCAATTACTTGTGCTTGCCTTCTTAACGATTTTAATATATGATGGAAACATCCATGTTAGTGTTCTGATGATCTGAGCTGGCGAGGGAAATTATATGAAGCATGTGCTTCGCCAAAGTGTCTGACCATGTAAAATAATCGAAACTGTAAGTGATATGAAAAAAATTATTGCTAAACATTCACAAATAGATGAAAACTATCGTCAAGATGCCTGGCAGATATCTCAGGTAAATTTTCACATTTTATCAGTCTTTGACTTCATCTTGACTTTTCCTAATGAACAGGTAGAGGGTATGACTCCGGTAGCGACAGTCATATTTCAGTGCAGGCAATGTGCTAGAGGCCTGTACACTATATGTTATGTCGGTGCACACTAAAGAACCTTTTATGGCCAAATTTCCATAGCCCTCCACTATAGGATGTATCTCAGAATCGTATCATGGTTGGTATTGTTAATATTACTATTATACCGGTGAAAAGGTAGTGGCCAGGAATGTTTTTCAGGGGATGGGAGGTATCTGCTGAAGCCATTGATTATTTGAGGATATAGCACCTACTTTTAAATAATAATTGAGCGAGGTGGCAGTATCACTGCTACATCCCGCCACTTTTCTTACCAACTTCATTTCGATAGGGGGGGGGGGGGGGGGGGGGCTAGCATTTTTTTCTGGCCACGGGCGTTACTGGTAACCGGTAAACACGAGAGCTTCTCGGTAATATACCTATGACGTCATAGACGGCTTCACTACGCCGTTCAACTTTTATCACCCGATCGTCACTATCACCAGCGCAGGCCCAATGAGGCGGCACACTTCGCTATCATGGTCATCTTGAATCATTCACAGACATGAAGCTGCACATTAATTATAATTACCACGCAGGTGCAAATTGGGGCGCCGCTAATTAAGCTAGCTAGATATGATGGGCTTGGTCTAAACTTCCGCCCGGGATTTTTAGCAGATAAAAAAAAAAGTCGTTCCGAATAAGCCGGCAAATACTTACGCTGTTTTGATTCCTGGAAAGACATTTCTTGATCAGCGCGGCTTCCAAGGACGGCCTTTTCGCTTTGTCGACCGGATAGAAGTAGTAGGCGTAACGCAGCCGCTGTTCGCAGTTGGCAATCAACAGGAACTTGTACATGTCTTCAGATAGCGTCCAAAAGCTGGAGATTGCATAGAAAAGGGCCATTCAAATGGGGAATCGAACTTCGGCTTCAGATATGACCGACTTCAAAGATAAACCAACAACAGTGATCGATCACACCGAAATAATTTAAAGTACTTGTGATATATGGTTCAGAAACTAAATTATTTCGCTTGTCACTGGCATCATTTGATTCTTCGCGCGCAAAGCATCCTATAGGGTGTTGAAGGAGTTCTGCGAGGTCCAAGACTGTTCATACAAAGTGGCAATTACCAAATTCACCCTCTCCTCCCTCTTACAAGCTGTCTTCACCGCGGTCTGATGAAGAGTGTGGTAAAACATGCTTTCAGGTGTGCTGCTTCTTAGTTTAACACGAAAAACAATACACTGGACCAGCACTAAAACGATTTGTTTACCACTGTTGTAACTTGTTTTGAATAGCCCGCGAATTGACAAAGAGGAACGCTGACACTGGTAAAAACACCGGCGTAGATTTATCACAAATGAAACTGTTTTGAAGTTCATTGAACGCCTTTTAAATATATTATTGGCACAAACCTCACGCCGTGTCCTTACAAGCATTAAATGATGCTCGCTGCGTGCAATTAGTTAACAATCAATTAGAGCACCGGTTACCATCCGGTCACGTTAAAAAAACAATATTCGGGCAGGACCATAAAAGCGCACGATACGTACGAAAATGCGAACTTTGCATACATCTAGACAAATAAAAACCCTGAAGAAAGCGCGCGGATTCTCCCAGCTGCGCTTTCAACCGCTTTTGGCACGTCATGTGGCGCCCTCACAACGCCTGGAGTCGAACTTTTGCAGCGCTTGTCGCGCTCTCTGCCTGCTGCGAAAGTAAGCAGCCGTGTAATGACGTCATCTGCGCGGCGGAAAATGTATCCCGGCATTCCGCGTGACGTCGTCGGCCACGGCTGGATCCATGTAAATGGCGACCATGCAGTGATATGGAGGACGTATCGTCAGCGCAAAATCACAGTCAGTTGGGGCCGCCGGGGGGCCCCATGGGCATGAACGCCAAAATGAACCAAGAAGAACCAGCGCAGAGGCCCCAGTACTCCATACCCGGGATTTTACACTTTATACAGCACGAGTGGGCCCGCTTCGAAATGGAGAGAGCCCAGTGGGACGTCGAGAGAGCCGAGTTCCAAGTGAGTGTGTGCTGCGGTGACGCTTTGCGCCCCTGTTTCGCATCCCTCGGAACACCGCCTCGCGGGCTGTGCCTGGTCGTCGTTTACGCCCTGTCAGCGTCGCGCTGCGCGTTCCTGCGACACCGATAGAAACTCACCCGCATTTGCCGACGGTTGACAGCGTCCGTGGCCTTTGGCAGGGTCGGAAATCCCGGAACGCCGCTTTTCTCATACATAGCCTCCTATATTTTTTTGTGCCCGCGCATTAGCGCTAAATACATACGCGCCATCCGTCCCTTATAGTTTTGGCGCTCGCCGCCAGATGCCGCACCGATCCCATAATAACAGCAGACGACGCGGCCTATGCACGCTTGCGTTTATGACGGTCTAGAAACCGTCTACATTGCATTGGATTATGCGTATACGTTAAGAAGTGCGCACACACCAAATTTTTAACACAAGCACTGTATGCAGAATGCAATGTGAGCTTTGTTATTTGATTTCGCGCTCAAAGCTTGAGCACTTTTCGAGACAATGGTTTGACATGAAAATCTTTTGCCAAGTCGTGTTTGTCAGTCACACTCGTCGCGAAGTTCAGAAAAAGTGGGCGGAGAAACTTCACGAGCACAACCTCCAAAAGTTTTTTATGATGTCCCGGGGTCGAGCACTTGAGTTTGTCACGTTTCTGTAGTATTTGCGCGGCGTTGTCAACGGCAGCCTTCAGTGGCTGATTCATCTTTCTCGCTCTTGCGAGGAAAACTTCCGCGTAATTCTTTAGAGAATTTAGAACCATTACGAGCTCAGTTGACGGATACAGGAGTACACCTGGGTGGATATCTCCACATTCAATCAGAACATGCTCCGCCGTTTCCTTATCTTTCCCGCAGCATGTGCATTGTTCTTCTTCTTTACTGAATCTTGCTTTATAACTACGCGTTCTAAGGCAACCCGATCTCGCTTCAAACAGTAAAGCGCTTCCCCTTGAATTATCGTAAAATGCCTCCCTCCTTATTTCATTTTTGCCCTTTCGGTAGTTACTCAAAGCGGGTTTTTTCTCCATAGCTGCCATCCATTCTCTCGTTTTGCGCCTCGGCGCTCCGCCAGGAGCGCTCGCATCCCATAATAGCTCGGGGGACGGCGCTGAGGGACCGACCGCTCGGGCACAAAAGCTATGTCTCATACAAACCGTGCTACTGCCTCTGGCAATGGCTAGCGCTGGCTTAAAAAAAGCAATATGGCGCTCAGGTTTATTCCTTTCCCTTAGGCCTAAAATACGTCGAGAACGGCCGAATTGGAGCGGACAGTGCTTCGGAGCGCGGCAGGAAAGCGTGCCCGAAGCGACGTTAACCGTAACGAGTCCTAGGCAGCGATACGAAGCTGTGCGCTCCCGTCTGCCGTGCTCGCGTCGCCATCTCCGACGCTCCTTTGTCGAAGGGGTTTTCCTCCGCTGCCTCTGCGTGCGTACCGGGATGCTGTCGTTTAAGAACTCGGGACAGTCTTTTCGCGGTCTCGAATCGAGTGTCAAGTTGACCGCGGCTGTAGTCTGACACGCGGCTGTCGCGACATTTCGGGAACGTGACGAGCCGGGTGCACAGTTTTATCTTGGACGCACGGAAGAATCCCTCCCGTCGGTCGCTAGTTTGCTCAAGGTTAGCGCTGTTGCGTCCGCACTTGCTCCAGTCCGCTACATTCTTGTTTTAGTTTCTTATTCGCAGAGCTTTTCATTTAACCCTTCTTTCAAACTTGCTGCGCGGTTTACGAAGGCAGTCTACTCGGCCTGCGTTTCCTACGCGGCCCCTGCCTTCGCGTTGATTCGATCGTTGGCCTAGACATTGCACGCCGATTATCGACGCCGAAAGAATCCCAGCGATGTGATCTTGTTTGAAGGGAAGACTGTGGGACGAACTGCGTAGGGCGCCGCTCTTTTGCCCGTGTTTTGTTCCGTGCCTTGTCAGGAAGCGGGCTGGGTCACTGTCTTTTTCATTTCCCCTTTACGTTCGTGCTGTTTTGGGTTTCTGTGCGCGTCACAAGTTGCGCGATCCTCTCGTTGAATACTTTACGGGGGATACGACGCTCGTCACCGACCGGCCCATTATTGCGCGCCCTGTATGAAGCATAGGGCCGCTCTGTCGGAAGCAAGCGCTCAATGATGCGGCTACCGCTTGAAATGGCCTCTTCCTTCCTGTTGCGTTGCTGTCTCAGCGCCGTCGTTTCTGTGCGCGCTTCCGTGTCCCAGCGATCTGGGCGCGACGGCAGGTAGCATGCTTGAGGAAAGAAGCCCACCCGTCTGTGGCAGCCGCGTTTCTTGATCGCTCGGTTTTTTGTTTGCGACTTGATTGCTCGTCCCCGCCTGTGCTTGTCCCCGGAGCAAACGATGTCGCGAGGCGCTGCGCACGCTCTATTGGGTTTTTGTTTTGCTGCTGCCTTTGCACTATCCCGCTGAGAGCGCCGCGGCATGTGTTCTCGCCCAATCTTTGTTACCAGATGACCCCTCAGCTGTGTCGTCTGCTAGTTGTTTTTTGTTAGTGTACCGTTACTCAGCTGACTAGCGGTTCTCGTTTCGTAGTTTGTTCGCGTTGTTACTGTGACTTTCTTTTGGTAATCTCCCGAATGTTTCGCTGTGCGTAAACATTAGTAGTACCGAAATTTGTAAGGCATATTTAAGCCGTATTCAGCACACAAACGCCTCCATGTTGAGGAGGGGGTTTGGGTGGGGTTGCTAATGCGATCTCCTTTGAACTTATCGCATGCCGTGTTATGATTGGTTCGAGCCGCGCATGCCTAACCAACACCGGCCTAACCTTTGAGAACGTATGGCTTGCGTATTCTGCACCGCGCTTTGAAAAATAACCCTACTTTAATGCGCACGCAGACAGCACACGGTGTTCGAAATTGTCATCTATTTCCAGGCTGCTCGCCATGTCGCTGTGATATGGCGGCGGTAAAAAAACATTTTGTCACACATTTTTCAGATCAAACTAGACGTGTTTGGCACGATTTCTAGCGTCTGTCACTTTTTTTTGTTTGGCTTTTATAAAAGTTGGCCGTCGTTCGCAGTACACCACCCTATATTCGTATCGTCGCGTTGACGTCATCTCCTCCAACGTGTGCGCTGAGAGCGTTGATCCGAACAGTTTTTCTTATCTGCCGCGTGTTTTTCTTTATTCTTTAACGGCCCTCGATAATACAACTCCCTTTGTGGGTCATTACACGAACGTTTTCCGAAACGCTCGCTGCGCCGGAGTCCCGTGCAACCGTTGCTTTCTTGCGATGTTGCGCCAGAAGCTCATCCACCGTTTTTATCTTTCTTAGTTTATGGTCTCTTATCCTTCCCGTTATTTATTTCGCGGCGCGTTGCGAAAAAAAAAATAAAAAAATGCGCGGAGCGTTACATCTACACCTCACCTCCTCTTATTTCTCTCTCTCTCTCGCCTTTGCAGAAGTCGCTGTTCATCGCCCCGCGTTTTACCCCGAAGTTCCGAGGGAGGTCATCTTCGCGAAGCCGTGCCTCTTTTCTGGGGGTCTTTCTTTTTCACGCGCTTGCGGAGGGCATCTGCGGAGGTCGCGCTGTATAAACAACGAAGAAAAAAAATGCAAGATAACAGAACACAAAACGCGCGCTCGGACGGACGCACACATCTGGGTTTCGGTTTTCCACACGGCGTGCGACTTTGAAGCGAGCGGGTTTTCACTACACCCCTCCCCTTGAAGTCTTTTTGTTTACGGGCAAGGCGTACAATTTCCGTTACATTGCCGTCCCAGGTCTTGCAGAAGCGGCAGCTCACTGCCGTTTTTTTCTTCAGTTTCGCCTGGGTTCAAGCAGATCATCTGTCAGTCGTCAATCATTTCTACTTCTTGGATGTTTGCGTTCCTGCGTGTGTGTCATTTTTGGATTCGCGAAAAAGCATCACTACTACTGCTTAACGGGGGATCCATTCTCCGTTCTTTGGAAAAGCTCAGCGGAGTACGCAGACGGTGTTTTCGAACTCTGTACAAGGATATGTCAGATGCGAAAACTTGCTGTTATCGTACTTGACAGGGCATGTGTGACGACTGGTGGGCATCGCAGCTCATCCGCTGCGCTGCTTACCTACTCAGTGCCTGGTCCGTTGTTCAGTCATTAACAGAGGGCCCCGACGTGGCTGCTCTGAAAGTTGGAAGGAGAAGTACTTTTCAATTTAACCGCCAGCGCAGCGATTCAGAGCTTTATTCAGTTAGGGTTTCCGTACATTGTTGGCGTTCTGTTCAACAGTTTCGAGCGAGGGTAGATTTTCCTCTCGTGCGGACTGCTATTGCAAGCAGCGTTATTATGGGACGATAGTTATAGCGCGAGAACAAAACGACGACACAGAGACACGAAGGACACCAGCGCTCTCTGTGTCGTCGTTTTGTTCTCGCGCTATAACTATCGTCATGCCATACCAACTAGCCCAAGCTGCCACACTTATTATGCGACGTTACGTTTGACCGGATCACGCGCTTTTTGTTTATTTTTCTCTCTGTTGGTCCCCCGGAACATTCTAACATCAAAAGGGGGGGAGTGGGCTGTGTACTCTGCAGCGGGTGATGCCTGGCCCTGAAATATCTGACGTGACTACGTTATGCCTTCGGCGCGAAATATGGAAACAAGCAGCGATTCACTGAACATTTCTTTTCGTTCAGAATGAAGGGATATAGTAGTTTTTGAAAGCTTCTTTACCAATGTGCAATGAATGATATGCTCAGTGTTTTTAATCGCTACTCGATGTGGAGGCGCAATGTTCTTTTAAATGTTACCTCGCTGCAGTGGCAAGGCAGCGTAACCTTCTGGTAACCACTTGACGAATACTGTAACGTAAGTAAGTTACTGTAATGCTGAATCAGTGACAGTGAACTGTACAGCTCTGAATCTGAACAGTTTCAGTTCTAGGAACTCGCAAGTGGCGCGACGACCCGAGCTTGTGCGTTCTTTTGCGCTCTTTTTGGTGGCTGCTGGCGAACGGCAGAAGGTAGGGACGTAAAATTTTGGAGATTAAACGGTT